CAGCAAGAGGGATTGCTGCTTTCGCAGTCTTGCTGTTCTGGCTTCTGAGATTCAGAATATTTTTTTTCTTGTTTTCCTCCTCCAAAAACTAGGTGCGTCTTGTGGTCTGGTGCATCTTATAGAGCGAAAAATACGGTAGATAATTTCTCATGGTGCAACAACTAGAAATATATGTGTATGCACACACACACATGCAAATGAAAGCAAAGGGCAACCGGAATCTTGCTAATTCAGTTTTTAAATTTAAAAAATCATTTATTTTAACAGACACAGACACAGTTATGAATGTAAAAGAAGCAATGGCAATTGAATAGTAATGTAGTTCATGCTGGGTATTTTTTTTTAAAAAAAGAGGAAGAAACTGAGAAGGCCACCTAGAACTGAAATTGGGAATTGTGGCCAAACATCCTTTTCTATATTTTATTATTATTTGAGTATAACAGTATAGCTCTAATTATACATAACTCAGCCACCCACACTTCTGGATTATCTGAATTCTCTAAGTAGCCCCATAACCATTTTGAAACGGAGCACTGGGCAGCAATATAAAGTTGCGCCAGAAGAACCAAATTGCCAGGAGATGCAGCTTGCAATTTTAGGATGCTCCTATTCAAGCTGACTGTAGTGAATGACAACAAATGAAAGCCAATGGTCTCAGCAAAGGCAAATGTGCCCTCAGCTGGAGATGATAAGGAAAGGCGGTACTGCAAGACTCCAGACTCCAGGAGTGGCTTGCAGGGTTCATGGTCTCCCCACCCAAGCTGGTCAAGTATGAGGATGACGAGGATGAAGAAGATGAAAACTTTCTTAATCTGCCAAGCCATTAGCCCACCTTTCTGAAGTGGCTCCCATGCCTGCATATTTTAAGCCTACCTCAAACAATCACCTGCATGACTCCCTTTTTCCTCCTGTAGGGCTCCTCTGAAACTGATCGAGAATGCATGGTTTGGGTGGGATAAACAACGAGAAGCTATAGAAATCATTGACTACAAACCCTGAAATTTTGAGTCCCTTCCAAACTGGTGCCAAGGTTTTGTAGTTGTTTTCTACGGCTTGGTAGCACGAACCCTGCATTTTATAAATACGCTTAATATTTGAATATGCAAATTTTGCATTTAAGTTGTAAAGCAACTGGGTTGTTCTGGTTTTTATTTTGATCATGTTCTGTGTTTTTATATCGTGATTTTATCCTGTGAACCGCTATAAGACCCTCGGTATAGGGCTGTATACAAATTTAATAAATAATAATAAATAATAATGTTGTAGGGCCCCCCAAACTGAGTAATTGATACTCAAATAGGGGGGTGTCATAGGTATCACCCAGAAATCCAACATTGGACAACATTTTGTAGTCGGTTTGTATGGTCTCTAGGATGGACTATGGATGCTTGAAGATGTACTGAGGGGTCTTACTTTACATATATAGGTAACAAGAGCAGACTTCTGTTATTTTCTATTTTCTGTAATACTTGACTCCTGGGAACCCGTCTGGCTTTGTTGATCTGTTTCTTCCTTTTCCCAAGTGAGTACTGTAACTTTAAGAATATCTGATGTAAGCCCTGAAAGTGTTCAAACTGTCTCAGGGATTGGAACATATTTGTTTATTTATTTCAAATTTTTATAACCTTCCTTCATCCAAGGATCCCAGGGTGGTGTATAGCAAACATTTTTAAATTGCAATAAGCAATATATAAACCCTCCCCACAAAGCCCATAAATCATATCCAACTGTCAAATCAAATGGCAATAGGGACCAAAAAATAAAAATAAAATTACATCTCCCCAAAGACCTTGAGAAATTGTATGCAATTACAAATGCAATTATGTCATTGGGATTTGCTGCATACAGTGGATTGTGCAATACTGTACACTTTGGGAGAATGGTAGAGCAAATGTGTGTAGCGGTCAGTAGTTTCTATTACTGTATAAAGTGATTCCCCGCCCTTGTATTATAAACATACACACAAACAAGCGGCAGAAGTCATATTCCAAATTATGTTCTAATGTACACTGAATATTCTCATCTAAATCATCATACATTAGAATAAACTTTAATGTAGTGAAAATACATAATTATGAGGTAATATTTATATGATAACCACATAGTCATACTCTGGCATGCAGAATGTGAACATGCTTCTTAGAGGGATATGGGTTTCAGTTTGTGGTAAATGAAGCCTTGGCAGAATTTTCTGAAAGTGGCATGTTGTTGCTATGTGGAGACGGCCGACAGGTGAAAAAAGAATTCAAGCTAACCCTTGTGAAAGATTTTCTCATTAACCTGCTAAACAGGACTCTCTTTATTTTATCTGGCACCCTAGTATTACTTTTGTGAATCAAAATATATCTACTCAGTCCTTTTGAGATTGTTATTGGCTATTCCCTTACGGTTTGTTAAAAAGCTGTTTGGGAACCTTAGCGTTTTCTGTCAAGCTCTATTATGATGACACACCAGTGTAGTGTAATGGTAGAGTATTGGACTAGGAACTTTGGAGAACAGGGTTCAAATCATGACTCAGCCAAAAGTTCACCTTGAGCCAATCGTTGTCTCTCAGCCTAACCTACCTCAGAGGTAGGCCAAACCCTACGCCAAAGGATAAATGGACATAAATCTGATATCAGGAATCACAAGACCGAGAAACCAGTAGAAGAACACTTCAGTCTCCCAGGACATTCTATACAAGATCTCAGTGTAGTTGTCTTATTACAAAAGAATTTCAGAAATAGACTGGAAAGAGAAATTGCTGAATTGCAACTTATTACCAACTGCAACTTATTAAAACCATGGAGAAACCTGGCCTGAATAGAGACATTGGATTCTTATCTCATTATACCACTTGCTTTTTCCTGTACGACCAATTGCAGTCGTTAACAGCCCTCAACAGGTTTACCACACCCATTCCTACCACCCTTCTGAGTAATACCCCTCCCCACCCTCTCACTATATATAAGGGTCAGGTGACTTTTGTTTCAGTATATCTGAAGAAGTGTGCATGCACATGAAAGCTCATACCAAGAACAAACTTAGTTGGTCTCTAAGGTGCTACTGGAAGGAATTTGTTTTATTTTGTTTCAACTACCTCAGAGAGTTGTGAGCATAATATGGGGGGGGGGGGAGAGAACCACCTTGGGTTCCTATATAGGATTAAGACCTGTAGAGGCTCTAAGTACTGAATACTAAACCAGAAAATAAAATGTTAAAATAAAACAGATTTATTGTAGCACATGATTAAGATCACATTATATTGATCCAGGTTAGGAGGACAGCCCCTGGTTTGGGTGAGATAAGTAATACAAAAGAGTACAGAAAAATGGAGAGACTCTAACAAAGGTCTTATTTTTCCCACGATGACTACTTGGTTGCTTTCTTTGAAATATCAAATGTCAAATCATTTTTTTTAATCTATTTTTTTGGTGCTCCTGCTTCGCCAGTGCCTGAAGCGCTGGCTTAGCCTGCCCAGTGAGTAACGCAGCACTGTCCTTGACAGAAAAGAAAGAGGCATAGAAATGCCAGTTCATTTCCAGGCCCAATTCAGGGAGCTCATGTTGGTGCTGAAAGAAGAGTTTGGATTTGATATCCCGCTTTATCACTACCCGAAGGAGTCTCAAAGCAGCTAACATTCTCCTTTCCCTTCCTCCCCCACAACAAACACTCTGTGAGGTGAGTGGGGCTGAGAGACGTCAGATAAGTGTGACTAGCCCAAGGTCACCCAGCAGCTGCATGTGGAGGAGTGGAGATGCGAACCCTGTTCACCAGATTATGAGTCTACCGTTCTTAACCACTACACCACACTAGCTCTCCAAAATAGCTCAGGCAAACTATTTTCCTGGAAAGTCCAAAATAGCTCAGGCAACAAATATCTGACACACTGCCTCCTTCTCTATGGACTCTGGGTGGTGGCTTTGGCAGCCCAGTGGGAGATGGCCTTCTCCATGGTGAAGCCTAAGCCTTGGGACTCCATCCTGGCGCCTTCATTCTACAGCTGCTGCCTCTTCCCCCTGGACTTCAACACGAGGTGCACACTTTGAGGGCCTGCCTTGCTTTCGTGGTTGTATGTTGTTTTTAATTGTTCTCAGTATTGCTCTTAATGCTGTAACCTGCCCTGGGGCTTTAGGGTGAAGGGTGGGCAATAAGTAACCCAAAAAACACACAACCCCAAATAATAAAAGCTTGAGGTCTGTAAAGATCAATAACCTGAAGGGGGCATATCCACCCACATCCTTCAGCCCTGGACCTTCTGATGGTTCCCTTGTTGCAAGAAGCTAAGTTACAGGGAACCAGTCAGAGGGCCTTCTTGGCAGTGGCACCCGCCTTGTGGAAAGTGTCAAGGAGCTAAACAACTATCTGACTCTTATATGACATCTGAAGGTAGCCCTGTATTGGGATTTTTTTTTAATGTTGGATGTTTTACTGTGTGTGGTGTTTTACTTTGTTAGAAGCCACCCAGGACTTTTGTTAGGGGAGGGGGCAGAACCTCAGATTTGTATTGATTTTGATTGATATTTTTGGGGGAGAGGGGAGGAAGCTGCCCCCCGCCCCCGTTGGCTACGCCCATGGGGGCAACCCAGTCAGATGAGTGGCATATAAATATAACAACCACCACAATTTATGCTAGATCAAGAAAACGGGAAACTGGTGGTGCAAACAAAAGGGGGTGGGGGAGAAAGAAACGATTTTCTCGTTGAGTTTGGGATTTCAGCTAATGCAACTTTTTGCCTAGCCTGCCGTTGACACATCCGGCCCGGCAGGTGTCAGTATAGCCTGTGAATCGCCGCGCTCGGGGCTGGGCAGGAAGCTTCTCCTTCCCCTCCCCCTCCTCTCCGGCGCCCGCGCGCGTGCTCGCGCCCGGCCGCACGCCCCCGTCTCCCTTCCTTCCCCGTCTCCCCCGTTCTTTGCCTGCTGTCACTAAGAGCCAGACTAGCTGCAGACAGGCAGCAGCCAGAGGAGGGGGGAGGAGGAGGAGGAGGGGAAAGGAGGAGGAGGAGGAGGAGGAGGAGAGACTGGGAATGAGTTGGAAGCAGACGCAGCCTCAGCGCGCAGATCTGCCCTGCCGGAGACAGACAGAGCGGGGAGGGGGCAGGATAAAAAGGACCTCTCCTGCTCTGCATAAGGAAAGCCCCCCTGCCGGCGCCTCAGGGGCGAGATGTAGGGCTTGCAGGAAAGGTGAGTGTGCGCGGACAACCTGCCGGGCTCTCCCGTCCTTGGCTGGGCAAGCGGAGATGCCGCCGCCGCCGCCGCCGCCACCGCGCGCGCAGGGAAAGGGGGAGTCCCCGCGCTTGAAGGAGTTCCTCCAGCACCACCTAGACAGCCAGAAAGTGTCTGACAAAGTGAGGAGAGGCCCAAGTTGAAGGTCTGCGGCTCTTAAAGGGACACGGGCACTCTTCTCGGGGGTTGCCCCAGAACAGAAGGTGCTTCTCTTCTCTCTCTCTCCCCCTCTCCTTTGTGTCTTTGGCACGCAGGCAAAGTGCGTGCAGGAGCGGCGAGTGTGTGGCTGGATGCATGTACCGCACGCCTCATGTGAACAGAAGCACACACGTTAGACGGGGACTGCCCGCACACGCACACAGCCGAGACGTTTGGGTTGTTAATATGGCACGCGCGCACGCACACACATCCATATCCGGACTGCACATTCCAGTGGGTCCTTTCCCGGATTGGCGTAATATCCATCCATGAGGAAGGAGGCATCTGTCTTGCCGGAGCTGAAATGAAAGTAGCAAACTGGGAACGAAATTCTATCAGGGCTTCCCTCCCATCCGTTGGTATTCCTCTTACCTTGTCAGCCAGGGGTTTGGTTACAAGCTGTGACACGTAGTTAACCACCCTGGCATCACTCTTCTTTCTTTCTTTCTTTCTTTCTTTCTTTCTTTCTTTCTTTCTTTCTTTCTTTCTTTTTAAAATCAAGTGATTCTTTTTGTCTTCCCTGACAGGGCTTTTTGGATGGTTGTCTGTGCATTGAGGTTTCACCTAGGTACTGTACATTGTTTTGTTGGGGAATCTTCCCAGCTGAGGATAAAGCTGGAAAGTGGTTCATATGCATTTCCTGATTTGCGCCTGTGGTTTTGAAGGAGCTGCTTTGGAAATCTAGATACAGTTTAAGCTGGTGCTGCAACGTCTCATGTCACTGCAAAGCAAAGCTTTTTATTGCGGGACCACTTAATATCTATGAAACGTAATAGAGAGATGAGGCAAGTTGAAGAATTGTTTTAAAGCTAATACTTGGAAACATTTTTTTTACCTGTGCATGTCGTTGTTGGGAATGGTTAATTTTGCACGTCAGTAAAAATCTGGATGCATCAAATGGTTCTGTGGTCCAGAGATGTCCCAAGAGATTGTTATAGAAGTGGCTGCCTGCTGTAAACTATCAAAGGAATTATGCATGCAACTTTTTAAAAGAGAAACTCAGACGATAAGCATCCACTGAGAAGTCTGTACTTAGGGAATGTCAGTACTTGCAGAATTGGCTTGTGCTTTCCCCCACATTTCTTTTATGGGGGTTCTTACCTCTACCTTTTGGTAGAGCATATGCTGATGGGATGAGCTGGGAAAGTGAGTTCTGTTCTTTGGTGTAGATTTTTATGTGTTGAGGTAGATGAATTTCCTATGTCAGTGGAATGATTTTAATGGAGTGTTGTGTGGGGTTACATTAATACCAAAGCCAAGTCTTATGTGTGTTACTTTCAACTTTTGACCTTTAATTCTTCAAAGTTTTTCAGAGTGCATCTTCCAGTGTGTAAATCAGGGACGGGGGACATGGTATGTTGTTGAACTTCAACTCACACCATCCTTTGCCATTGGCTGTTCTGACTGGGGCTGGTTGGGGATGAGGGACCACAAGTCCCTTGGAGTTAGTGGTGCCAGTGATGCAATTATTTACTGAGCAATTTCCAGTACAGTTCTATGCATGTCTACTCCAACTCATACATCACTTAACTGGAGCTTAGTCACAGGTCAGTGGGTATAGGATTGCATCCTCAGTGTGGTATGAAAAGGAAATTCAGGTGTTGTGAAATGTTACTACGGTACTTTAGAATGGGTACTATCACTTTTGCATGCTTTTAGTGTGTGTGTGTATTAATATGAATTAATAATTTAATTGCAAGCCTCCTGAAAAATAAAGGCATAGGAAGTATCTCAGGCAGTTTTTATATCTGCTGGAAGCTGCCCAGAGTGGCTGCAGCAACCCAAGCAGATGGGCAGAGTATAAGAATGATAATGTCAAAGAACTAATTTTGCATTTAAGTATCTGACAGTCCTACATATGTTTACTCAGTGGTAAGTCACACTGTATTAAATGGGACTTACTCCCAGGTAAGGTTCATAGGATTGCCATCTATGGGGTTACAGTCAACTAAATTCTACTCAAAGTAGATCCATTGAAATTAATAGAACACTAACATTTGTTTATTTTGAGCAGGAGTAGCTTTGAGTGCAACCCTAAGAATATGATTACTTGTAACTATAGATTAATGTAGTGAAGAGACTGGCTTTTGGGAGAAGGGTTTTAAATGGGCACGGTTTCAACTTTTTCCTATTTCTGATTGCTAGGGTAACATTTCAAAGTGATTACCACAGTACAATCCTATACATGTCTACTCAGAAGTAAGTGAGCTCAGTGGGATTTATTCTCAAGGCAAGTGGTATAGAATTGCAGCCTGTCTATTTAACAGAAGGTTTATATTCCAGTTAGCGCCGTTGCTAATTATATTTGTTTGCAGATGGTACAATTGTTCTGCAGGTACTTGGAAGCGTGTAAACACTGCCGTTACCCTGTTGCTTGAAATACAGTGGACAGTTTATTGGGCAGGACATTATGGGAGACAGCATATATTAAAACTAGTGAATGTCCCTACTTAGTTGCCAGATGAAATAGTGACAAAATGTTCTGCACGTCTATATCTGTACTGGTGTTTTCAGCACAAAGTATTGAGTTACTGACTGTGAGTGTGCCACAAGATTCTGTAGTATCAAAATCTCAACTGCAACGTATCCTATATGCTTGTATATATGAAGACATATCTCTGAATATTTTATGCTTCGCAGTGTATTCTGTTGTGACTCCCAGGTCAGTGGATTTGTAGGCATTTCCTTTTTCCCTCTCCCTCTCTGTCTTTGATCAGGTGCTATATGTTTCTGATAATATAGAGTTCTATATAAAGTTGGGGGGGGGCAGACCTCCAAAGGCAATAACATTGGCATTGATTAGATTTACACTGTGGGTAACTTTGCTTTTAGGGGACGTGGGTGGCACTGTGGTCTAAACCACCGAGCCTAGGGCTTGCCGATCAGAAGGTCGGCGGTTCGAATCCCCGCAACGGGGTGAGCTCCCATTGCTCGGTCCCTACTCCTGCCAACCTAGCAGTTCGAAAGCACGTCAAAGTGCAAGTAGATAAATAGGTACCGCTCCGGCAGGAAGGTAAACGGTGTTTCTGTGCGCTGCTCTGGTTCGCCAGAAGGAGCTTAGTTATGCTGGCCACATGCCCCGGAAGCTGTATGCCGGCTCCCTCGGCCAGTAAAGCAAGATGAGCGCCACAACTCCAGAGTTGTCCACAACTGGACCTAGCGGTCAGGGGTCCCTTTACCTTTTTAACTTTGCTTTTAGCTGTTGACGTCCGTTTCCCGTGTTGTGTATTTAGTTGGCAGGTTTGTTTCTTTCCTGAGGGAGGTGGCCCAGCCTGGCTCTGTGTTCAGCTCACCTGCCCTTTTTCCGCAGGGTCAGGATTTGTGCCTCTGTGAAAACTGAGCTACCAAAACTTTAAAGAGCATGAGATGAAGTGATGTGAAGGCTAGTGCCTGTGCTACCACAGCTGCCCTGCTGCTCTCTTGCCCTGCTGAGGGAACATGCTCAGAGCATCCCGACCCCAGCCCAGCACTTAACTCTCTACAGCAGATCTGCTTGTCAGTTCAAGCCAATATGTGGAATGCAGACACCTTCCCACTGCCTTCTGGATCTTGTTCACCCTTAGAGTTTCAGGGCCAGCATTGTGACAGGGGCTCTCTGTCATTAGTTATTGCCGAGAGGACAAATTCTATTGTAAGTTTTTTCTGTCAGAGTCCCATTTCTCAGTCGTCTTCTTTTTGTTTTTCTGCTTTGCCTTTGGAAACTTTGCCCCTTAGCTTCTCTGTCTCATGAGGCTTAGCTTTCCTGTCGTTGGTCTTCTTGCAGATGTCCATTCTAGCTACTTCCATCTCTAAGGCAGATGTGGACTTTTGATCCCATCCAAACCAACCACTTGATGCCTTTCAAAGGAGGGGGCATCTTTGTCTAGGATAGGCTAGTTTTCTTGATGGTTTTTTTGAGTCATCATAGCAGCTTATCCAATTGCTGTGTGTTTTCACTACCAAGGCATATTACAGTAATGGTTTTCTAATATTCTCTCTTCAGACTGATTTGTAGCATTCCTGGAAAAGTTAAACTTTTGAGCGTGGTGCTTGGAGGTACTTGAGGTGTGTCTGTGCTTTATAATTTTTTTCCTACCTGATTTTTGTGCGTGCTGGTTCTTTAAAATCTACGTTCTGACTTCTGTGTAAATATTATTGGAACTGTGCACCATATGTAGAAGTATATAAAACCATTCGTATGCTGTTGGTGGGTTCTTGTTCTCAGTTTGGATTTCTTAATATTGTTTTTATTTTAGTGTTAATTCAGGATTAAGGAAAATAATTCAGTGGGAATATTTGCACTTGACATAACGCATAACCTCTTCTATAGCATTTGTTTCTTGGTGGGTGAGTACTATACTTGAAAGGCCTATGGTTTGGGAGTAGCATCATTCGTGTGTGTTATTATCCACAAGGGAGACAACACATTTTGAAAGGTTTTCAGGCAATTATTCCAGGCTTGGTCTATATAACTGTTGAATTTGCCCGTGGCACCCAGCCAACATCAGCTGTTTATTAAATGACCTGATGCCAGTGCACTGGTGCACCCGCTGTTAAGAATCCAACCTGTCTTGTCTAAAAGTTCTTATACGCATTTCCCCTCCTTTCCCCCAAATAATTGCTGTTTCTAAGAATAGCCTGTTTGCCTTGGAGATTGACCAGGTAACAGATTTCTAACATAGATGCACCTTTTTCTTGTTCGTAATAAACAACACAAGAAAGAATACAATCCTCTGTTCCTGAATGCAAGATCCTTGTAGGTTTTGTGCACTCAAGTAAGAGGGAATAATTAGGGTGATGCTAAAACATAGTTATACTATTTTATACATATTTATGTATCTGTATTCGTGCTTTTTAAGTGTAATGTTTGTATGATACTTATGTGGAATTGGCTTGCAACATTTTGTGCTATTATTAATAAAAAAAGGAACATTATCAACAGACGGCACATCCAACATCTTGTGTTTCACACATTCACTGAAAAAGAGGGAAAGGATAAGAAGGTCAGATTTCACAATAGAAGGAAGAGGAGATAATGTGTACAGGCCATCTTACCTCTGATACCATCCTTGTTCCCTAGTTCTGAAATGCCCCCTAACAATTAATCAAGGCAGTGATGGATGTCATTTTCTAGGCTTTCCGCAGAAGTTGGTAGTTGCGTCTGCATTATAAATCCAGCTGCATGAATATTTTGTTAAGAGATGCTTGGGATGTATGAGTTCATCTAAAGCATTAATGCCATTGATTTAATTGCACTAAAGCCAAAGAGAAGATGTTATCATGTTTATTTACAATTTTTAAAAAGAACTTAATAAAGAAAGGATTGTGTCTGTGCAGTACTTGCCTTATTGTTTATGATATCTCTTACAAATGGTGCCACTACTTCACACTATTTTCTTTTGGGTCTCCACTGTGCTATAAAGATAGCTGTAGTTGGGTACAGCTGAATAAAAGTTTTGATTCTATTGCTTAACAGTCTTTGATTGCCACAGCTGTACTGTATATTTTACCTCTGTTCTCTAATTTATCCATATGTGTCCCTGTAAGGCAGGAGTGGGGTACATTTTTCAGCCTACAGGTCCCATCCCCTAGTGAGTAACTTGCAAGGAGCAGTGGCTAAGGCAATGGATGTGACTGCTGCTTTAGTACAGTAGCCTAACATCTAGCTTGCAAGGATCGCCATCCCTTCATCCAGGCAAGCACAAGGCAGTATTGCAGTTCAAGGACTCATCTAGTTGGTGAGGAGAACTGGAGGGAGTTGTGGAGCAGGGTCAGTGAAGTCTGGCCCACGGAGGATGTATGGCTTGCTGAGAGACCTGGAGGGCCGTATATGACACCTAGGTCCAGCCCTGCTGTAAGGCTTTTAGTACTTTGGTTACTTGAGGAGCTGGTAGAGCTTAATCATGCCAAGTGCTGGAGATACCTATGGATCTAGTCCAGTTCTTCTTTTCAGAGGGAAAAGGTTTGAAGTGTTGCTTAACAGGCATTGTTAAATTGCTTAAAATTCTTGTAGGGGTATTTGAAGTTTCTAACTGAACTAGACCTAGTAGGGCAACCTGGTTCTACAGCTAAAATAGTTGCTTGAGATGGCATCATTCATCAGCAGCTCAGTTACCAGTGTTGAGTGGGGAGTTGTCTGAATGGTGGGGTGGGTGTCATGGGTAATCCATAGAAGAAACTGATGTCAGTAGTAAAATTGGCTAGTTTTTAAAAGATGCATCTTATATTGTAATATATCTGCCAGCGCATATATAAGAAAATGAAAACCATCCCTTTTAAGTATATGCCAGCACTTATGTCTCATTCCTTTTCTTTTGCAAAACCTATGCAACATGACATGTCCCCCATTTGAAAGTACAACTTGAGTAAATCTCTTGCTGAACTTGTTGTTCTTACAGGTTTGGAAAGGATGAAGAACTGAAGGGTAATTTCTGTGTTGATTGGCAACGGAGAGCTTTTTTAGATGAAGTATGGTTGCACTGTGCCAAATGGTTGACTTTTCTAGAAGGAAAAAACTCCAAAGGTTATGTGAAAAGTACTCTGGTTAATATATTGGCATTCCCAGAACCCACTAAAACTTGGGCAGGTTGCCAGATACCACTTAATGAGGATGCAGAATGTCTGGCACAAATCTGCATAAACACAAAAGAATTTCAGAAAAGGGAGTTTGTGAGTGTAAGTTGCATATCTCTGTCTACGATTAATTTTTAATTACTATACTTTTGCACTTAAGATAGATGGAAGTCTTTCCAATTAGATTGAGCGTTGCATACACAACATTTTGTGTCTTTCTGTTTTTGCCTCTCATTTATATTGCTTGTGGGGAAGTGGAATCAGAGCTGGATGTGTTCTCCAAGCCCACAATCACAGTGTGCACGCACACGCACAGAACAATGGGCTGGATTCAGGCTTAGGCTGCACTCCTAACCCTGTTTACCTGTGAGTAAGCACCATTGCATTCAGTAGGACTTACTGCTGCATAGACATGGTTAGGATTATGCTGTTAGACATGCTTAGAGCAGACCCCATGGAATCAAATTAGTCATCATGACTAGCTTAATGCCGTATCCTGAGCTTTCCTTTAAAAACAACAGCAAGTAAGTTCTAGCCCTTCATGCCGCAAAGAAATACTTTTTTAAGAAAAGGGTGGAGCCTGCTAAAATATTAGATGTGGGTGTGGTAGGCTGGCTGAGCAGGGTTTCCAGTGTTCAGATACGACTTTTGTATCCTGCATACTCTCTTTGCCCTTTGAAATAAGCAGCGATTAAGCGAAATATACTCTGATTTTTAAAAATCTGCATAATGTCTCTAAGTTGCAGGAATCTCAGTCAGAAGGTCCCAGGTTCATTCCTTGGCACCGCCAGGTACAGTTGGGAGAGACAGCTGCCTGAAATCCTGCCAGTCAGTGTAGACAACACTGAGCAAGGTGGACCAATGACCTGACTTGGTATAAGGCAGCTTCCTATGTTCTTAAATAATACTGGGAAAGACTTCTGATTTGAGTCACAAGTTGCTGTTGTTTAGTTGTTTAGTCGTGTCCGACTCTTCGTGACCCCATGGACCAGAGCACGCCAGGCACTTCTGTCTTCCACTGCCTCCCGCAGTTTTGTCAAACTCGTGCTGGTAGCTTCGAGAACACTATTCAACCATCTCGTCCTCTGTCGTCCCCTTCTCCTTGTGCCCTCCATCTTTCCCAACATCAGGGTCTTTTCCAGGGAGTCTTCTCTTCTCATGAGGTGGCCAAAGTATTGGAGCCTCAGCTTCACGATCTGTCCTTCAGTGAGCACTCAGGGCTGATTTCCTTCAGATTGGATAGGTTTGATCTTCTTGCAGTCCATGGGACTCTCAAGAGTCCCCTCCAGCACCATAATTCAAAAGCATCAATTCTTCGGCGACCAGCCTTCTTTATGGTCCAGCTCTCACTTCCATACATCACTACTGGGAAAACCATAGCTTTAACTATACAGACCTTTGTTGGCAAAGTGATGTCTCTGCTTTTTAAGATGCTGTCTAGGTTTGTCATTGCTTTTCTCCCAAGAAGCAGGCGTCTTTTAATTTCGTGGCTGCTGTCACTATCTGCAGTGGCCGAGCTGAAACTTTTCATTGTTTTGCTTCTCCCCCAACCCTTGAAAGTAGCAGTGAGATAGTGGAGGGGCTCCCCCTGCACCCTGAAATTGCTACCTCAGAGTTGAAAAGCATAACAATGAGCTCAACCACACCAGCAAGTCAGTACTATTTCCATTTTACGGATGCGTGGCTGAAGCTGAGAGAGAATAGCTTGCCAGGTTTTCCTTAGTGCCGACGGGCCCCCCCTCCACCACTGCAACATCCCATGCCAAGTATACCCAGTCACAGCTATGGGTTGCAGTGAGTTTGATGAAATCTTTTTATTCACTTATGCATTTAAGAAACGGTAGGTTTTGTCAGACTGTTTATATGACAGTGCAAGTCTGTGCTTGCCAAGATCCAGACAGTCTGTTAATGTTACATGCCGGGATAAATAAATTACAGTGTCTGAGACAGAAACGTGCTCGCATTTGGTGCAAACCTGTGATGTGTCCCTACAGAGATCTGCTGGCATCTCAGATTGTAACAGGGTCAGGTAACATCAGCACCTATTTATTAATTTATGGTTTGATAACCTACACTATCCCCAAAAGCGCTGGTGATATTTATAAGCGATATTTTGTAAAATAGATGAACACGTGTTTTTTAATGCAGCAATTTTTAGAATGATTGCTAAAGCGATAATGCTGCTTACATCTAACCAATTCAATAACCTTAAGAAATCTTACATCACTATGAGGAGATGCTTAGGTTTGAAATTTGGCAAACCTGCTGGAGAGCAGAGTCCAGAGCCAAAGTATCGTTTTTGATGAACGGAGAGTGGTGCCGTAAGGCAATCTGAGTTTTCTTTGGGAATGTGTGGAAGGACGCGGCAGGTCAGGTAGCCTTCATGGCTGTTCTTATTCTTCCAGGTTCTGCTCCCATGGTAACTTGAGCACTGTGCTCTTCTGTCACATCTGTATAGGTCGTTGGTGAGGGGCAAATGTGACAATTGCTATAGACTTTCCCAGTGGAAGTGCTAACTGTAGATCATTGCTAAAGTGCTAATGTGAATCCTCTCCCCCCACCACCAGGCAAAAAAATTTAAAAGGAAGCTGATGAATTGGATGTCCTTTGTTTTGGGGTACTATATATGATATTATTGTTGGGATACTGCAAACTTTATTGAATAGCTTGCAAGGCCATTGTAGTTTAAAACAATAATATGTGGTTGCCCTAGAACCAAACTACTTGTATTATTAAATGTGAGAATGCATTCGTTGGTTTTTTTTTAATTTAAACAAAATAACAGCCAGATCTGGGGGCTTCATGAGGATTGGGACTGCATCTGTGGCATACAGCATGTGTCTGTGTTGTGTGTGTGAGTTAAACCCTTACCTCTACACTGTGGTACAGGTGAAAATCCCCCCACCCCATCCCAAAGTTCTGACATCTTCCATTGCAGAGGGAATAGCAGCTTTGGAGCCCATTTTTTCCAGTACTTAATGGAATCTATAATGGGACACAGTGTTGTTTTGTCACATAGAATACATATGAATTTAAAATATAATTATCACAAGGCTTCCATGGGTGAATAGGAAGACTCATGGTGTCCTGGTTGCCCAAATATCCATTTTATCTGTAGCATGTCTTTACTCTTTTTCAGCTTCTATCATTTCTGTTTGTTGTAGCTACACCTTTTTATTTCTGTAACAGAAATCCCACCTTAGCCTTCTCCAAAATATGTTAGAAAAGCCTATTTTTATGGTATAGTCATGCTGACACTGTACACTTTTGGTTTCTCACTAGGGAATTGTTTGTGTTTTCCCCCTTACCCACGGGGAAGCTCTGTGACTTAGAGACAGGAAAGCTATTACAGAACAACATCTCTGACACCTTTCTTTTACCAGTGAGCTTGGGGTAAGAGGTGTTGCAGTATGTGCGTTAATTGAACAAAATTTTCATTCTGACTTCTTAGATGTGAGATCTTGGGGGAAACTGCATAAGGTTTCCTTCTACTCAAGGAGATGGATAAAACCACTGTATGTGAACTTGCCCTAAAAGTAAACTCTTGTATTAGAATGAACAACTCACTGGCTCTCTTACCAACGCCTTTTACTTAAAATTTCCAGCTGAGACCTCATTTTTGGCTGAAAGCATCTTGTAACTTCTTGCAGCAACAGTCCCAAAATATGTGTACTGATCATAGCTGAGACTGAAATGGCCACTGGAATTTACAGAGAGCTTTGATAAAAGTGGTCCAGATGTGGCACAATTCTTGCCAATGAATGGTCAAGTCAGATCTTTCTCCCAATTATTTGTGTCTGAATATGCTTTTCAGGACTCCTTGTCTCATGGTTGTGTCACTAGGCATGCTGGTGTAAGTTAAGTCCGATGTAAAGTTACACCAGATACAAACCTTACTTAGTATCAGGGCTGCTGCTGGCCACATGACTGAGGTGAACAGACTTAGGATCCAGCCTGAGCCCTCTCTGGTCCTGCCCCCACCATGCCCCCAGAACTCCCCTTTTTTGACCTCAGCTGAACCCCTGTTGAGTTGGGGTGAGCAGGTTATTTTGATGTATCTATGAGCCAGGAATCCGATGGATCCTAACCTTCTCATTCTGGCATTTCTTGCCATAAGACTGTCATCTTAATGTTACCAAGCATGATCTTTGATTGTAATTTTTATTTCTGTTTTTGTTACATTGTTATAATATTGCTTTATATTCTGTATGCAAGACATTTAAAAAACAACATTTAACAGAAAGGGTACATGAAAGAAAACAACATGAGAAACTACATAACTTTTGCAATAACGTGGTCCTCCTTTATTACATATGCATCAAAGAAAGAACATGCATTTGAACCACCTAAGACACATGGGAGCATGTGGAATGATATTTTTTAAACCAGCAACTGTAGAAATAATTTATTATTTGATTATATTACTAATGTAATTACCTGGATGTAGTTGGGGCTGTTTGGGGGGCGGTTTAGGGGAAAGCTGTATTTGATTGCTTGTATTTGATTATATCTTGTTCTTATATTCAATTAATAAAATATTCAAAACAACAACAACAACATAGAAGGATCTTTCAGAGTCCATTGGTGTTACTCCCAAATGGGGTAGAAAGGCTGCTTTGTATGGGAGTAATCACCCTCCACTCGGAGCAAAAGTGGGTCAGTCCCATAAATTTGTAAATGTCTCTGTATGTTTATACAAATGATTCCATTGGCAAAAAAAAAACTGAATGAAAATGCTTTGTAGTAATGAATGGCTGCTAAAGAGTTCTGAACTTCTTAAATGTAGGGCACATAATAGAAAAATGCATGTTTAAATGAAATTATTGTCAGCGTGATTCCTCTGGAACAATTATTTCACCTTTCAAAATATCTCTTTAGAAGTCTGCTTGCTGACATTGCATAATTTTGGTTCCAAGTTTGTTTTTTTAAGAAAAATAAAGTAAATGACATGCTACAGAATGCACTTGTTTTCTGAACACCACTTTCTGAGTTGAAACCCTAGGTAGCTGGATAAACAAGTCATGTTTTAATTAGCTGTGCCTCTTTTCAGCAAGATTATGTCAGAATATAAAATCAGCAGATTAATTAGGATTTGATTAAGGCTGCACTGGTATATGCAATTGTAAAATTGCCTCTGTAATAAGTTTTGTTCTAAGGTGCCACAAACGTATTCTTCTCATACTGTTAGACTTCTTAATAGCATGTATTTAAAATGCATTTAATTGGATGGTTAACAGTATTCACTATACTTACAATCTCTTTGTATGGAGGGAAAATGGGTACAGATGTGAAGTTTTTCTTTAAAAGAGCCTCTTTTTTAATTATGGGGACTGTAATGGTTAAAATTAAATGGTTACCCACAACGTCATCTTGAAGTATGTTTTGAAGTTTTGAAATAAACTATGCTGATTTGTTAGCATTTAATACCCTTTTCCTTGCAAGGTTGAAGCTACGCAACAGCTTAAATTGTTTTTAGGTTCCAAACTATGTTTCCTCACCATGATAAAAGAGGCTAACAGTGGAAGCCTGTACATGTCTACTCAGAAGTAAGCCCCACTGAATTCATGGGGCTTAATCTCAGGTACATGAGTATAGGATTCCAGTCTAAAAATGTCAAGCTTATTATATATCAGAAATCTTATATACAGGTTCAGAGAGGTGCTATGACTCAATGAGTGGTCCCTGTTCAATCTCGAGTCAGCCATGAATAAGTTGGATTTCTATTAACAAATTATTCTCTCTTAGTTGCCCATTGACAAAATGGAAATAGTGCTTTGTCAATTGGGATGTGTGTTTAATACCACCCTGCAACTTAATCATTCTTACTTTCTTGTGCTTTTGCAAATGTTAATAACCACGGTTCCCTCCCTCTTTGCTGTTTTGACTGGAATCAAGTATAAAGAATGAAATGAGGGAGAAGGAAATTATGCCAATCAACACTGGACATGGTCTAGGCAATCATATTTGGCTGTGTCCTGTCTCACTCAAACAAGGGCAAGGCTTCCTAACACAGGTGATCTTAGCCAATCAGGGATTACTCTAAAAATTAAAAACTTTTGCTGTCGTTTCACATCAATTGTAGAAAAATCTCAAAAAGGAGAGGGTACTTTCAACCCAGAAAAGATGTGTGTAACAGTTGCCCCTCAGCCCTGGTAATAGGGCTAATGTGTGGGCTATAATGGGCTTAAGGCTATAATGCACATAAAGGAACTGGTGTGTTGTGGTGGATGTGCTTTAGTGTTGGGAGTGAGCAGTAGGTGGCCAGGTTTGCTGATGATACTATATTACTCAGGGTTAAAACAAAAAGAGATTGTGAAGAGCTCTGAAAGGACTAGGCAGTAAATGGCAAATGCAATTCAATGTAAACAACTATAAAATGACACATGTCAGGGCAAATAAATTCTTATTTTCGCATATACACTCATGGTGTCTGAATTGGCGGTAACTAACCAGGAACAAAATCTTGTGGTTATAGTGGCTAGTTTGCTGAAGATACTGCTCCAGTGTGTGGCAGCTGTGGAAAAGGCAGATTCTATGCTAGGCATCATTAGGAAAGGAATTGAACTCCCTAAGCTGTCCCAGACACTGTACGCTGCATTCCAAATGTGGTCACAGTAGGAATATAGTGTACAGTTCTGATCACCTCACCTCAAAAAGGATATTGTAGTTTCTGAAAATGGCAACCAAAATGATCAAGGGGATGGATCATCTCCCATATGAAGAAAGGCTACAGTGTTTGGGACTTAGAGGAAACATAAGAAAGAAGTGACATGATAGAAGTTTATAAAATGATGCATGCCATAGAGAAAGTGGACGGGGAAAGGGTTTTCTTCTCTTATAACACTAGAATGCGTGGACATCCAATGAAGCTGAATGTTGAAAGCTTAAGAACAAATAAAATGTAAGCACTTCTTTACCCAGCACGTAGTTAATGTCTGGAACTCACTTCCACAGGAGGCTGTGCTAGCCACCAACTTGGATGGCTTTAAAACGGGATTCGACAGATTTATGGAAGATGAGACTATTATTGGCTACTAGCCATGATATGCTCTTTCTCTGTGGTTGGAGGCAGTATGCTTCTGAATACAGTGGTGCCTCGCAAGACGAAATTAATCCGTTCCGCGAGTCTCTTCGTCTTGCGGTTTTTTTGTCTTGCGAAGCACGGCTATTAGCGGCTTAGCGGCTATTAACGGCTTAGCGGCTTTAAGAAAAAGGAAACAAACTCGCAAGAACTCGCAAGACGTTTCGTCTTGCGAAGCAAGCCCATAGGGAAATTCGTCTTGCGGAACGACTCAAAAAACGCAAAACCCTTTCGTCTAGTGAGTTTTTCATCTTGCGAGGCATTCGTCTTGCGGGGCACCACTGTACTAATTGATGGAAAGAGGAGGGGAATATGCTGTTGTGTTTGGGTCCTGGCTATTTTGAGAACAGGATGCTGAACTAGATGGGCCATTGGCCTGACCTAGCAGGCTCTTCTTATATTTTTGCACCTCCTGATATCTTGAGTTCCTTCCTCTGAGGCAGAGGATCTGTCTTGCACGCAGAAGATCCCAGGTCCAGCCGGTTGTGGGGCTTGAAAAAGCTCAAAATCCTGGAGAACCTGGGATAAAGTAGCATCTTACGTTCTGTGCTCTGACAAACGTCTCCTCGACCTCTGACCTTTTCACGCAGTTTGCCTTCCTCAATGTGGTTGGCTGGTTTTCTCTAATGTCAGCATGGATTGACATGGCTTCTGGCATCCACTGGATTAGATACTTTGATGGAACAGAGGCTTTTGCCAGCCTGGAGCAGGAGCTGAGTGCTTAGGAGAACGACTGAAAGATTTGAAAATCTAAATTCCATTCTGTGAGCAAAATTAGAGATAAAGTTACCTAAGGGTTAGCTAATCTATGATAAGTGATTCACGAATACCTTCTTATGATCTTTTGAAATACAACACTTTTATCCATCTGAGCAACTCTGATTGCTCCCAAATGGGCATTCATATAGGCAAACATAATGGGCAAACTAGACAATCATACACATAGCTTGCAGCCATTTTCATGATTATGATGGCTTGAAAAGTTACTAATATGATCCTGGAAATTACAACCAAAGCAACCATATCTCTGGTCAATTCACGTATAACATTTGTCTTTATAAGCACGTCTTTGAATAAGTTAGTGTGACTGCCTCTTTGAAGAAGAAGAAAAATGTATACTGTGAATTGCTCACCCATTTTTGTTCAATAGTTTATTTCTCTGGCTGGTTAGGGATATCTTTGAGAGAATGCACTTTCCTCTGCCTGTGCACCTGGGGGTCTATCTGTCAGTTCCAGATCTATTTTGCCCTTAAAGCTTGGGAAATGCAATGTACTTATCCAGTGACATTGATATACTCTGCTTGAGGGTGTTAAATGGTACAAAAGGATATTGATGGTAGGGAGAGGCTCTTGAAGTTTAAGCAGAATTGGCTGTCCGCTTTCACCTCCTAACTTGTATGAGATGCTCAGTAGAACGTAAATGAAATTGTCTGAATGGGAACGGTGCCCTTTTAAATTCTAATTAGTGAATGAATTAAGTAGTAAGAATTTTTATGAGTCACAGTGAATTACAGGTATTATTGACTTGACAGTCTTGCCTACACTAAAAGCAGTGGTTACCCAAGTGGGTCTTCAGCTGCCAGATCAAGCTGAATGACATTAAATAGTCTGATCAGGACTTCATTTTACTTTTAAAAAGTGTTTCTCTACCCTCTCAATCCTCCTCGTTCCTTTAATGAGGGAAGCTGAAATAGGGCATAGTTAAGGAAAGAAGCGGATTCTAGTCTTCTGGGTGGGCTGCAGAACAGGGAAAACTGCTGTTGGCAGGCTTTCAAGTTCTGGTGCCTCATGGCTAGATTCTGAAGTTCTGAATTATACATATATCTTGTGCGTGCCTCATGTAGCATGAGGTTTATTACTAGAATGCAAGCATCATGCACTCAAAAGGAGAAGGACATCTATTGTACACTAGCACTCTTTCTCGCAGTACAAACCTTGACCTAATTCCTGTAAACATGTTTCTTTTTTACCCTGTTGCTGCAGCATAGGATGCCAGTATTGCTGTGTGCACCCAGCTCAAAAGGCACTTAAAAATTTAAGTGTGTCTTTTCTTTCCTGTTATTTGTGCTGAATTGTAAACTAGCCTTAACTCAGATCTTGAATTCAAGAACCAGCCTTTCTTCCTCGACAGGACACAGAACTGTGCTTGTCAATTTTATCTGCTCCCACTATATTACCCTGCCGTGAGACAACAAGAATGTTGGGCTTGAGAATGTTGCTGGTCTGGGATCAACACTTACCTGAAATGATTGACCAAGGACAGGAAAGTGGGGGCTGGGGGGAAGTCATTAAGAATTTATTTCCTTGGCTCTGATTGAACAGAGTGTCACCTCTCCAGAGGAGATCTCACCTCTTGGACACTGTTACTTGAGTCCTGCAGTTTACAGAATGGCTCAGCAAGGGAATATGCTGTAATTGGAGCCCTATGTGGGCATTTTCCTCCATGCAATTTTAATCATGTGGAGGGAAACAGTGGGACTGTGCTAGATAGTTCCAACATCACCATACATGTATTGATGGGAAGGGGTACAGAACAGGGAGTGGGGGTGTTTGCTCTATTCCTGTAGGCTGTCTGTGATGTTAGAACCCTGTGCTGGTTTGGGACCAGATGCCACCGCCCACTCCCCCTATGCCCCATCTCTCTATGTTTTTAAGATTTCATGGACAATTATCCCCAAATAGGGGTTACAGTAATTCTGGATCCTCCCCCTTTTCACAGAATCCTGATGCACAGTGAAGTAAAGTGTCCATTGCTATTACTTCTCAGGCTTTGCACAATAATTTCTCAGGCTGTTCTGTGCTAGTGTGGCTTTTTTCTTTCCAGAGGAGGAAGCTACTGATTTGTTTTCTCTTGGGCACCACCAGCAGTGCAGATGGTCTGAGGGCAGTATTTGGAATAAAGAGCTAAGCAGCGGTTGGGTGACACAAGATGTCAATTAGTGTTCTACCTAGCTCTAGTCTAGTGCAAGATGAGCTGCTTTCTACTGACCTTATTTGTTGTCTTTGGGTTGCCAACCTGCCAGCACCAACACCCTGATGTGAACCCCACTTTGGACATTAATGCACAGGTGCAAAAGGCAGGTGACCTTCTTGAACCAATTCACTACTCAAGCCATCATAACATGCACTCTGAACACAAGAATGGGGGATCAGGTGATTCAGAGTTTTGAAGAAGAAAAAATGACAAAAACAACCTCAAAAAACCTATTTATTTATTTTTAAAAAATCTATCCTGCTCTCATCATAAATGATCTTGAGACGGGTAACAACAATTTAAAATACAGGTATACAAGAGCATAATTAGAAATTAAAACTGCTATTATCTATCACATCTGTCCAATAGCAGTGATCTAAAAAGCAGAGACATCACCTTGCTGACAAAGTTCCGTATAGTTAAAGCTATGGTTTTCCTAGTAGTGATGTAGGAAGTGAGAGCTGGACCATAAAGAAGGCTGATCACCGAAGAATTGATGCTTTTGAATTATGGTACTGGAGGAGACTCCTGAGAGTCCCATGGACTGCTAGAAGATCAAACCTATCCATTCTTAAAGAAATCAGCCCAGGACAGAAGCTGAGGCTCCAATACTTTGGCCACATCATGAGAAGAGAAGACTCCCTGGAAAAGACCCTGATGTTGGGAAAGATTGAGGGCACAAGGAGAAGGGGACGACAGAGGACGAGATGGTTTGGACAGTGTTCTCGAAGCTACCAGCATGAGTTTGAATAAATTGCGGGAGGCAGTGGAAGACAGGAATGCCTGGCGTGCTCTGGTTCATGGGGTCACAAAGAGTCGGACACGACTAAACAACAACATTATTTCACTGCTTGAGTCACAAAATATCAGGTCACTGGGGCATAGTGGTCTTTTGTCTCAAAATATTGCTGAATGAACACTGTACAGCTGAGAAGCACATTGACTCCAAAGAGAAGTTAAAAACGAATGATGATAGAAACAAAAATCTTCCCCAAAAGGTGCAGTGAGCTTGTAGAATTCACCACTTACTGCACCACTGAAAATATCTAATAAGCGTTTTAGGAATTCTACATTACAGATTGAATAGCAATAAATGTGCTCTTGGATATGATTTCTTCTTTTTTCCTTCGGAAACTTAACATAGTTAGCTGTGTTCTGGGCAAATGTGGTCTCCCTCCCTGTAACAAAAGTGGAACCTTGAGCTGAAAATGTAAATTCATCTGTCATGGATGCTATAGTTGCTATTCCTTCGTTGCAAGAAGTTGGACTAGTTCGCCCCCAACGTCTCTTTCAACTCTACAATTCTGTAATTCTGTAAACTGCAAATGTGCATTGATCGTGCGAAAAGAACCAAAAACAACTTGATTGAGTGGGAAGAATTATCTCTTAATCTGAGGTGGGTTACTGGCACCACAAAAATGAATTTTGCAAGTTATTCTTCAAGGTGACTGATTGTCCCTACTTTCTCTCCATCCCCCCCCCCATTTTATGTTCTCTTTCCATCCCCTGCCTGACACTCTATGGTCCTGAATGGTTTCCTTTGCAGTCAGAGGAGCCAGTAGCTTCTTAGTGTAAACATGAGCGTGCATTCAAATCTGTACTCTTTTTCTGATTCTGAGCTAAGAGCCAGTATCCCTTTAACGTTAGAAGGTGCTATGCACAGCCAGCCCCCACCACCTTGGGACTTAATGTAGAAAATGTGGCAAGTGGCTGGCTTGTCAGAAGCACATTTCATGATACTAAGTTCCTTCCAGCTTCAGGTAGCTAAAAGGTAGCTGACAGGGTGAACAATCTTATACTTACTTTACACCAGGGGTGGGGAACCTCTGACCTGCAGGCCAAGTGGCTGTTTTTCTCAAGCTGCACCTAACTGCTCCCTACCTGATATCATGCAAAGTCACGTGTGGGGCAGGTAAGAATAAAGAAATAAATGGGCTCCTTAAAGCACTCTCCCAATTCTTCTTTGGCAATGATGCTTGCTCTCAGCTGATTGGTGGGATTGGCTGAGCTACAGAGTTCCTGAATGGGAACGCCATAGCTCTGCTGATCCCTGTCCGAAGAACGACTTATAAGTGCAATATTCCTTTGCTTTGAATTCAAGCCAGCAGTGCAAAGAATCTTTCTCTGCAAGCATAGCTTGAACTGCAGCTGCAAAAGAGGGGGGGGGACCCCAACCACCTTTGAGTCACCAAATGTCATTTTGACACCACCTGTGAAACTGAACTGTGGAGGTTGGGGGAGGTCCGGATCTGAACCACTAGCTGTTTCCTGCCTTACACATATCTGGAGATACGCTGCTAGAATGCCTTCAGAAAGGCCACTAAGTCCTATGCCTACTCAGCCTGGGAGATGAGGGGAAAATACCCCAAAGAAAATGCAACATAGTAGAGTAGACACAGGCTCCTGAGAAGCTCTACCATAGCCCCCCACTGTCTTTGTCAGGTTTCAGGTGTTTGGTTTAAATGTTTTCATTTCAGGAAGCCTTTGCACCATGGAAGCTGTTCTGTTGTTTTAATCCTGATGTTTTGAATTTTGCACATTGCACGTTTCAGTTTTTTGTAAGCCGCTTTAAAACCTAAATGTAAAAAAGCAGGGTAATTTCTTTAAGTAAATACCACACCCAAGCAACAAAGAAGCAAACTGTGGCAAAGTGAAAGCTTTTATTGAATAACTTCTGGGATGCAGGAGATCCTAAAAGGAAAAGACGCATGTGGGGTTGCCATCTAGCCTTTCCAGCAGTGCTCCTGTGCCTAGGACAGTGGTGCCAGCTGCATGCTAGGAACACCTTAAACTGTTGTACAGTGGTCTGTTATGGAGTTTGCAAGGGAGCAGGAGCCTGCCTGGAACAAGTTAGTTAAGAACCCCATAGAAGAATTGCCAGGAGCGTCCTGGTCATTGCCACCAGCCATGGGGTGGGGCTCCCCATGATCTGTATGAAAGTGGGCATGGAAGAGCCGCTGGTAGAGAGTATTGTATTCCAAAAATACAGTATTGATTGTCCTTGAATCTTCCTGTGACACTTGCCATCCTCTCCTGCCACACCACTGTGGCACGTCACACCCTTTGACAACCTATACTTTCCTACTACAGTCAAACCTTGGTTGTCGAACGTAATCCGTTCCCGGAAGCCTGTGTGGCTTGCAGGAGCTTCCTGCACTCAAGCGGAAGCCACATCAGATGTTTGGTTTCCAAAAAGCGTTTGAAAACCGGAGCATTTACTTCCGGGTTTTCGGCATCTGGGAGCCGAAACATTCCAAAACGGAGGTGTCTGATTTGTACTTTCATTGGTGTATACCAGTTGTGGTGTGCTGCTATTTGTTATTCAGTTACACCATATGTTATGCTAAAATCCCTGAAGCAAGATGATGGGATTGGAAACTAGTTCCACCTAGGTATGGTGTAAAGTGCCGTTGGTGGGGGCATGGCCAAGTTTTGAGTGACTGCAGGCTTTGGCATGAGTCTGTTCTTCCTTTGTACTGCCTATGACTCCACTATGTTTTTGTCTGCTTCGCAATGACCTATCTGGGAAGTCCTACTGGAAGTGAATATAAACTTATGCCACTGTAGGCAGCCTTCTGTTGCTTTCTAAAAGCAGGGATGGCAAACATGTGGCCTTCCAGATGTTGCTATCCTGCAGCTGTAATCATCCCCACCTAACCATTGGCCATGCTGGCTGGGCTGGGACTGATGAGAATTGGAGTTCAGTAACATCTGGAGGGCACCAGGTTCCCCATTTCTGTCCTAAAGCATCTCAACCAGCAGATCTTGAGTGTAGGATTGCAGCCTAAAGTACTTGAACAAACCATTCTAAGATTGGCATGTAAATTTCAATCCAACTGTCTCATGTTGGGAAAATAGGTCTATAGAATATTGTAAGATGCTATTAGGCCTAAGATGCAAATAGGTAGTAGTTGCCATATAAATGCTGTGAATGCCTTGGAATACTATCTCAAGTTCAGTTGGTACTGATTTGGACAAATCAGGCCTCCTCTGAATTGTTTCAGGTAAATTTATTCTGTACACATGTTGGAAATGTTATTACATTTTTGTTTTGTGTTGACTTCAGTGAAACACAAGCTATTGTTTGGTTGTAGACAAGGCCATTCTAACAAACTTTTGATATTGACTTCATGACACATTGCTTACAGATAAAGTGGATTTTTTTTGAAGTGGAAGGCGTTGTCTTGACAACCAAACTCCAGCTAAGAATAGGAACTGAAATTAAAAGCCCAAATTTGCTATAATTTCATCTAAGTTGGTTCAGTCTTGTTCTGGAATTTGAGTGCAGATTTCAAAAGTCGGATCATGTTGTGTGCTTGTTCATTTGATTCCATACACTACTTATTTTAAACCTAAATTTTCACAGTATCAAATCAATTCTTGGAATTTTGTGTTTATGCTATAATTGATTCTATGATGTATTATAGAATGAGAAACCCCCAATTCCATCAGGATGCTTTTGGGATTAAGAACTGGAATTGAATTCACTTACATTAAAATTTAAGGGTGGAATTCACTTTTGTGCTATGAGAAACATTCTGTCTGCACAAGCCTTTTACCTTACCAAATGGAATGATCCCTTCTTTCTCCACCCACCCACCCCATTTTGGGGGTTCTTTGCCCCCCAAGCCAATTTTGAGAGGAGGTGATCAAGATGGCCGCCTCATCCTCTCAGGTAGGATGAGGCAGCAGCTCTCACTGTATTACTGTTTTATTGCCCTATTTTGTTGTTCTATTTTATTGTTTTACTTCCTTGTTATCTCGCTGGTCTAATGTATTCGCACTAACTGCAACTTACCAGATGAGAAAACCCAGCTGAAAACCTCAAGAAAACTGCTGTGATAGGAGAAGTGCTGGGCTGAGAGAAACACAGGGTGAGTCAGTGTTTTACTGATCAGTTGAGGAGGAAAAGAAACGAAATAATTAACCCCTCTCCACTTTGTTGGATATAACTCTTTGTGGGACTCTGTGCAAGCTTAGCTTAATGCTTTGCTCCGTTACCTTCCCGAGTGGTTGACCAATATGGTGTATGCAAGGAAGGCATTTAAAGCCCTGGGAATTATGCCAAACTTTGCAAGTGGTTCTCCTGAACCTCGGAAGCAGACAAAGTAAAATCACAGTTTTTCCTTCAGAGCAAAAAAGAGTCAAGCAAGCTGATACAAGATGAAGTATCCCCTATACTTCCTGCTTTGGAGTGGTCAATAAATCTTAAAGGGGACATGCAAGAACCTAGGAATATAAGAAAGTTCCTTCAATAAATTTGGCCCTAGAATTGGCCTTGGCAAAGGACATAAACAAGGCCAATTTGAGAAATAAATTGGGGCAAACCGACAAGCTCATAGAGAGGTCGTCTTTTGAGCTCAGTAAAAGCCCACCCAGACAACAAGCCATTTCTAAATGCACACAAACAGCGAGACACTCAACTCCAGGATCAGCTTCATATGGTTTGCTCAGAATTATTTCTCATCAAAAACTTCGTTACAGAAAGTAATGGGCTGCTTACAACATTAGTGGAAAGTTTTACAATTCAAGAGAGAGTCGAAAGATATTGAAAGGACATCTAGACAAACCCAGCCGGTAATCAATTACAGAAGCTTTACAAGTTGATACCAACGGATTCCACTCTGGACACAAATAAGCCTACATTGAAAGCCCATAGGAAAAAGGGAAAAGGAAGAGGACAGCAGCAAATGTTGCTAAACCACAACAAATGGTAGAGAAGGAAAATAAAACATATGCCTCAGTTTAAGTTGCTGCTCTGACTCCAGGAGGGAAAGCACAAGGGAAACAGAGAGGATACTATCCACAAAATTGAACTTGATCCAATAACCAATTACCCAGAGGCCCAATGTGACTTTCATCAGGAAAAAAGGTGGAATTTGGTGATGATTCCGCAAAAACCAGTTATCGCAAATTATCCTAAACCGACTCCCATCACAGAGATGTCCTAGTGATGTTGATTTACAAAGAGTCAGTAATAAAATATTTGTTAAGGGATGATACTCCTGAAACTACCAAGATTGTTTCAGGGTACTTAGCCGAGATCTTTAAAGCTAAATCTAAAGTTGCCTGATTTATTCAATGGTGGCTATCTAGTCTTTTATATATTGTTTATGTTTGGAGTATCAATGTATTTGGATGACTGTATGATTTTATGATTTTACTGTTTTAACTTATGCCAATAAAGACTACTACTACTAGTAGTAGTAACGTATTGGCCTGAATATAAGCCTCACTTTTTCCCCCCAAATTCCGACCGTGAAAAGTTAGTGTGGCTTAAATTTGCCACCTTACAAAAACTGGCTTTTACGGTATCGCTGCTGAAACAGACATATTGTAAAAGGGAACAGGTGTGAGTGCCTGCAAAATTTTAAGAGAGCGGCTTATATTTGGATATTGTCTCCCTTTCCCCTTGAATTTTAAAGATGTGGTTTATATTTGGTTGCAGGTTATATTCAGGCCAATACGATAATAGAGAGGAGAAGGGTGGGGAAGCCTTGTTTTGCAAGCAGAAGTCATTGTGCAGAGCTTCCACTTCCAAGGTTCAATTGGTTAATCCCGTCCTAAATATCTATTGTAGTAAATACTCGTTCTTTTCTGATGGAGATCTACCGGTAATTAACTGATGAAACTTCCTGAGGATACCACTTTTCAATACACCCCATGTTAGCCCTGCCACTGATAAAACCTTGCATATAGAAAACCAGGACATTTAGGGGCAAATTATAAGTAAGACCTAATCCTCTTACGCTAGTTTTCTATTTCAGGGAATTTTTATCACAGGAGAGTTACAAAAGTGGTATCTTCCACCCCACCTGTAGTTTAACATTGTGCAACTGATTTTACCACTTGAAGACTCTCCCATCTTTATTTGGCGGTGAGTGAAAACAGGCATGAAGGAGACCATTGTCATCTTGTATTAATTAAAAATAGTAACCATTTTTTTAAGTGATATTAGATAAACTGTATGTAGTCTAGTCACAATATATAAGCACACATGTTGTTGATCAAAATTTAGCTAATAACGCAGGGAGCTAGAGAGCATGATAACAGCTGAAGAAAGCAATAGCTAAGCCTACCAAGTTCCTGGCAATTTCTTTTAAATTTTGATAAGACCTTAGAAATGGTTCTACCATACATATACGTCACATCCTGAAAGAGTGACCTCCTTTCCAGGAGGTACTCAATGAGATTGCTTTTTCCTTGCTTCCTGATGATAAATCGGTTACAGTTATTGTTGGATAGAACCACCCAGCAAATTTCAGCTCACACTAGATGTCACTGTTCAGTTACACCACTATGTAGTGAAGTTTTGGATATTTCTCTTTCTCTTAATTTGAAAAGGAGAACCCAGAAAGAACAATGTTATTACTGTATGTGTTCAAAGTCAACATAATACTATTAAAAAACCCTGAACAGTTCTGTGTCTTTATTATTATTATTATTATTATTATTATTTAGTCCTGACAGTGCTTGTACTATACTTCAAAAATAATCATGGGTAAGTTCTGTTGCTAAGTTACATATAGTGGTGCTTCTGACTGAATGTGGTAAAACAACATATAAAATAATTGTCAAAACAAAAGATACCTGAAAAGGTAAACCATTAGAGCCTGTTAGACATTTTGGAATGAATCCTTTGTGGTTGTTGTTGTTGTTTTGTTTTGCCATTGTAGCAAGATGATCAGTTTACTAAGCAACACTTAAAAGAATTGACTAAAAGTCACTGTCTGAGGAACACTGTTGCTTACAGTATATGATGGCGTTTGATGCCTGGGTGCTTGTAGAGAGGGAAGCTTATAGTTGCAACCAGTGCTTGAAGTGGAAGTTGGGGGAGCAGGAAATAGGATGGTTTCATTTCAAATGAGGCCAGGTTCAATTATCTCTATTGAAAACAACTTGGATGATTTTAGATCCTCTTGAAAATAGATGGGATAACATCCCATCCCACTTCAAATACTGGTTGTAATTCAGGCGTTTTGTTCAGAATAATTTTGTTAAGGCCTGTGAAAGAGACTTCTTTTTAAAAACACCCAGCGATTTATTTATTTAATACCCAGTAAGAAGGTATTGCTAAATGCTCCTAAGAAATTGTGCAGGGGATCTGTCCTGTGTTTTGCTTTGCCCAGAAGCATTTTGTCTAGCCTGCATTAATATGTAAAATAATTCTGTTATGAGCCAGCCCTCACCATTAATGAAAAATGAGTGACCCACTTATAAACCAGCCATGTCATTTTCCTTTGCATTCTGCCTCTGGAGAAGCTTTAAATAAGATTTCTGGATATGTGCAAATCTGATAAAGTTGGCATATGCTCAAGCAAACAACAAGAGAAGAAAAAAATTCTCTTTCAATATGGGCTGAGAATGGTCCTTAAAATACAACACACTTATTTACACTTAAATTCTTTCCTTGTTGCACTATAGCAGTGGAAACTAATATCTTGCCATTTTGTTTGTTTGTTCAAGGTGCAGTTTGATTTGTCTCCTTCCAGGATAAGTGTTTCATCTTCTCCAATTAGCACTACTAGTGTTTGCTTTGAAACTTAAATAGTATGCATATGTGATCTGCAGAGAAAATGAACAATCTTTCTTGTTTCCTGTGTAACAACAAAGACCCCCCTTTCCAAAAACTCATGTGAAAGGGGCTTTAAAAGCTTTAAAAGTTATTTTGGAAAACATTATGATTAATCCTGTGTGCCGTTATTACGTTGGTATTGCACAAGTGTGCGAGGGTTGAACACATTTTTTAAAAGCATACAGTGGATGATGCAGAATTGCAAATAACATGTCTGCTGTTCTGTTTCCAGAAGAGCCAAACTGAGTTTTTCTGAGCACCTTGACTCAAAAAGTATCTGTTTTGCCTGAGAAGGTAAGCTAGCACAGGGCTGGTCGAAGGGCAAACAGACCCTGGTGGCATAGGAAAACTGTGGTTCTCCAGATGTTGTTGGTTCCATCTCCTACCTGCCCATTGTCAGGGATAATGAGAGCTGTAGTCCTGTAACATTTGGAGGGCTGTACATGTTCCCTGTCCCTGCTATCTAGGTATGGACAAAAGAAATGCCCCCACCTTCAGTTCAGCAGGCGTGAGACATATGGAAAGTAGTAACACCCTATCTCCACCTGCTTCCAATCTAATTAAAGTCTCCACAGCCTCCAAAGGCAAAGCATTGTACAGGAAAATCCCATACTCACCTACAAATTCCTCATTTCTTTTTCTTGCACCTCCCTGAACCATGCATCTTTGTCTGTAAAGTCTTCAGTGACAAAGTCTGTAACTGCCTGGAACCCTTCTCTGTCTTGGTCTTTTTCTTTCTCAGCATTCCTGAGCTGCATTCGATTTCCTCTGCAGTCTCTAATTCTTCTGAGTCTCCCACTTCTCTTTCCTGAGCTCATAAGTTGCTGGCAGGTGAATCTTGCATCCTGGAAAGAAACCTTATAATTAACGCTTTCCACTGCTCCCTGAGTACCTTTATGAGGGCTCTCCTCTATCTAGACTATGGTTGGCAGTCTTCTGATACTCACTGCTGGTGTTAAATGCAACTGCTGGAGCCTACTGCTAGTCTCTGCTGGTACAAGCAGCATCAGACTGGAGAGGTGAGGAGATGGACCATTGGATAGTAGTAGTTAGTAGTAGCAGCAATAATAATAATAATAATAATAATAATAATATTCCACCCATCTGACAGGGTCCACCAATATCAGCACTGCATCATCTGTGACAGGGAGAAAGGTACGAGGGAGGATTGTCCAGCTCCAAATCTTACGATACCAGGAAATCCTGTCATTGTGAGATTCCATGTTTCAAGTATTGGGATCTCAATACTTGGACCAGAGATTGGCCTTTGTGTCTGGAGTCCTAAGGGGAGGTACCAGCACCTGCAGATTTAAAGGAGAAGTAGAGCTGTGTGTCATCAGCATATTGCTGACAACATACTCCAAATATCCAGATAAACCCAGTCAGTGGTTTCATTTAGATCAGTGATAGCCAAACTTGGCCCTCCAGCTGTTTTGGGACTACAACTCCCATCATCCCTAGCTAACAGGACCAGTGGTCAGGGATGATGGGAATTGAAATCCCAAAATAGCTGGAGGGACAAGTTTGGCCATCACTGATTTAGATGTTAAACAGTATACGAGATAAAATTGAACGCTGAGGAACCCCACATTAAAGGCCCCACGGGGCCGAAGAACACTCCCCAAGCATCATCCTCTGAAAATATCCATCCAAGTAGGACCAGAACCACTGCAAAGCGATGCCATCCACCCCTAACTCGGACAGCTGCTCTAGAAGGATACTATTGTCGAGGAGGCTTCTGAGAGGTCATGAAAATCAACAGGGGCACATTTCCCCTCTTCTCTCCTGACAGAGGTCATACAGGGCAAACAAAGCAGTTTCTGTGCCAAAACCGGGCCTAAACCCCAATTGAAATGAATCTAGTATATGTGCAGCCCCAATCACTGTACCGCAATAGCCACATTAGAAATTACTACATTTTATGTGACCCAAGTAGTTGAAGCATCAGGAGGGAGGTGAGGTGAGGAAGAAGGGTGGAAAAGATTCCATGCCTTTGTGCTGTGGTACAGAGCTTCACCCACATTTGATCTCACCACAATAGCGGTGGTGTGTAGCCACACACATAGCCTGATAGCTGATTTTTGCACCCATATCCCCTGGGCCTGCATCCCTGGCGGGGGCCAGTATCACCAACTCCTAGGTACGCCTCTGCTCATGGTGACCACACATCTAGTGTGCTGTCAATGAAGTGGAGCTTCTACTGTGCTTCTTATGCAATGCGAGTAAAAGATTGTTCCATAACACTATAATTTTATGATTGGTAATTCTGAATAATCTGTCACTTGAAATGGTAAAATCACAGAGGTACTTTCTTTGGCATATGTTGATATCTGAGACTCTTTCTAAAGCTTGTCGTATTATATTTAGAATTTGGTTGCTAAACTCTAAACCTGTTAGAAATCATGCATTTCATATACAAAATACTTAAAACTTGAATAGTTTCCAAATAATGTGAATAGAACCCCTCCTTAAGCATGCTTCAGTGAAGTTACTACTGTGTTCCTTTCTAGTTATTATGGAAAGGATAAAGGAAATCTGAAAGCTCTACATCTTTTTTAAAAAGCAGACAATAAAACACAATTTAATGTTACAAAGGGCACTTTTAGATGTAGCTGCAATGTGATTTTAAAAGAATTATGCCAGTGGGTAAGTGAATCACTAATCAGACACTGTAGGGAATTGTTCATAACTGCAATCACCTGGACATCTTTGACTTATGTTACTAAATATAATGACGATAATAGTTCTGAAGGCATTATATATTTCAGAATTATACACACCCTTTAGCAGCATGAAGGCTACAGCATTATTTCCCCCCCTGTTTATGTCTTATCCTTCCAGATGGTCTAGACATAGAAACTGCAGAGATGACCGTATTCTACTTTAAAAATTGTACATTAACAAAAAGAGAAATGGAGAGGCAGAAACTATTTATAATATATAGAAATTCTAGAGTGTTCTGTACACAATGTGAATAATGCATGCACGGTATCTGGAACCATCACCAATATCCTAGCTGTTGCCATTAGAAACATAGGAGCATAGAAAGCTGCCATTGGTCCATTTAGCTTAGTGTTGCCTACAGTGATTGGCAGCATTCTTCAGGATTTCAGGCGAGGTTATTTTCCCAGACCTACTTGGAGATGTTGGGAATTGAACTGGAATTGTTTGCTTGCAAAGCAGATATTCTACCACTGAACTGTGGCCCATTTCTACTGACATTAACACATACACTGGATAGCGGTCATTACTCAACTGTGTCCCAGCAAGAATATTGAATCTCATCTCATTACAATGAAGGCTAATTAATGCATATATTTAACTACTGATACTTGAATAGGAACTCTTCCCCTCGCTCCAATTTTCAGAGGCATAGCCAGTTTAGTCTATTGCAGCTGGGAATCATTACTGGCCCACAAGCTCCCACTTGTCCGTCGCCTAACTACCTTGTTTCATGCACCTTGGCACTGTTCTTTTCTATCTACAGTTGCCTGTTATGCCAAAGCAGAGAACTGTGATTTAATTACAGTTTTCAGCTGGATCATGATTTAGTAAACCACGGTTCTCTGTTTTGCATTTGACAGGGAACTGTAGCTGAAACAGACCAAATATTGAAGCGCCAAAGTCCACACACAAAATGTGGAGGCAGGAGAAGAGCTTGTTCCTGGCTTAAACTATGGTACATTGGGGCAGGAATTTTATGTTATGTAGTGGGCCAATATCCTTTGTAATACAGGCAGGGGATTTCAGGAAGTGTTGGCCTCAACACTCAGTGTCATGTATCTAAGTTAGGGGTCGGCAAAGTTTTTGTGGCTTGGGCCGGTTCACGGTCCCGCAGACACCGTGGTGGGCCAGAGTGTGCGCGCATGCACGCACGCATGTACAAACACTATTTCCATCACTCCTTCTGGCGCGGAGGAGGCGTGTGCAGCTTCCCATTGGCTGCAGGAGCTTCCTGCAGCCAATGGGAAGCCAGCCAGTGTCGCAGAAGGCAGTCCCCGTTCTACTCCGCTCCAGTTTAGTGTGGCACATGGGAGCCGACCGAGCGGGTGGTGGAGGTTCCTGAGCAGGCGGCGGGGTTCATGGGCCGGTTAACTTAGGTTGCCGACCCCTGATCCAAGTACTGGGAGTTGGCAGTCATCTTTAACTCTATTCAATTGCACAGCAACTGCAACAGCCAAACTGTTGTTATGTGTATGTCCACTTTTCCGGAGATTCCACAAGATATGTTGGAATCCTTTCAGTGTAAAGGTCTTCAAAACTACTCCTGCACATGATCTGCGTTTATATAAGCACTCTTAGTTTAATATAACTATTTTGCTAAGGAAAATTCTTCTTTTTTTCACTTGGCTGCAGAAGCCTGTATCCTGAAAGACTACGTTAGGACAGAAAAAAAGCCCCTGGGAGATAGGAAGTGGGATTCTTGGTAACATAGATGTATCTAGATCACTTTGTGTTGTGCTCTCTTGGGAGATCACTGTTTGAAGTATTCCTGTGGTAGCAAACTAGGAAGGTTGTTTTGGCTCTGAGCTCTGCACAGACCTATTGGCCCTGGGTTCCAAACTTAACCCTGTCCTGAGAGTGTGGTCTGGATATTTCAAACATGATTTAAAATCTAAATTAAGCATATACAAGTGTGAGTTTTGCATTGCGGCATCAGACTTGGATTTCATCTGAACTTGGCCAGTCAGTACTTAAACTCTGATTGTTAGCATTATTTTCACTGCTTTCAGTAGATTTTTTTGGTTAACCTCTGAGTAAAGAAATCAGAGCCTAAAGCAAGTTAAGGATTCATACAGCAAACTTGTAAACAAGCTCTCTGATTCCCATTGAGTCTCCTTGAATTTGTTCATTGTTTTGCATGATGCATCCAGCATCACACAGGGGTGTGCATAACCCTCTTCAAACAGTACACATGGTCTACCAACTCCGTTTGATGAGAATTTTCACATTTCCCCAGTCCTGCAAATAAATCAGTTTTATTTTTAGTCTTGCTTTTGAAGTATTTTACGAATCTATTTGCTCCAGGCTTCCTTTATTCTTGTTGCAATTTTATCCATTGGCTCTGCTTGCTATGCTACCTACATTTTAAGTATATTGTTTCCACCCTAATGCATTCAGCAGTCTAAGTTTTTCTTTTTAACAGCAGGCACTGGGACTTCCATTCATGCACAGCATTATATGACAAACTGTGTAAGACATGAATGTTTTGAGTTGCGTGGCCTGTGCGTTCGTATTGAGTGCAAGGTAGGTACTTGTCATTCTGTTTATCTCGGTGTGTTTCCATTCCTTCCCACTGTTTCTGAGCTCCCTACTGTTTTGTTCAGTGGTCTATACTAGCAATACAGTAAAATTGACTGAAATCCACATCTCCCAGTGTTTTCTGCTGGCGCTTCAGAGACTCGCTGTCATTTGTATTAAGCAGCAATGAAGCTAGAATAGCAAAGAAGGGTAGCACAGCACCAGGCACTGAAGAAGCCTTCAAACGGGGGTGGAGGTGGGATGGAAGGAGTGAATGCATAGCGTACATGAATTTAAAAAAGAGAGAGTACTGAACTGAAGTAGTAAGTTCAGAAAAGCATATGTGTAAGGTAAAACTCCAGAAATTTGTATCATGCTAAAAAAGTTGCTTACAAAAACCTTGTTGCTATGAAAAGAAATAAAAGATGACTGCGATGAATGGATGCAATGTCATAAAGCATGTCCATGATACACAACAACCCTCTGCAAATGTACTTGAAGTAAAACCCCAGCGTTGTGAAATGTGAAATGAAACGTATTTCATACTAAGTGTGCATAGGATTGCAGCCTTAAGATGTTCTTGTGACTTTTTGCTGTCATTTCACCAGCTTGTTCTCAGTGCAACTGCTAGGGAGACTGATTTTTGGTGATAGGAAGGATAGGAAGGAAAGCATGAAGGAACCTGAGAAGTAAAGCACATAACATGCTGAACTTGACAGAGCTTGTAAGGAGACTGTCTCTTTGCCATCAGGGGGGAAATATCACGGACACCCACTGAAGAGTCATCTCCTGTTTTGCTCACTTCTTTGATGATAGCTCTTTGCCTCATGATACAGGGCCCTCCTTCGCGTCTGCACTAGTTCTGCAAGCTTTCATTTTGAGTCCTTCATTCAGAAAAGGGTTTTCTTTTTAAATGCAAATTTTTTTAATCAGGAAACACTTTGGTTTGTACTTAGTGTTTTAGACAGGAGCAATGTGTTGTTTATTTTCCTGCAGTCTTCTTTGATATTCCAGCCCGTGATATAATTTCTTTGTGTGTGTGTGTGCATCTTTCTCTCACACATAGAATGCAAATTAGCTAAATAGCTTGAGTTTGAGAGTTAGGCCTGATGTAAAAATTGTATCTGACTAGCCAAATCAGTCCTTCACGCAGCAGTGCATTTTACTTCTTTTCTAAGTATTCTTTCAGTTTCCATTGATTTCAGTGGGTGAGATGAAAGCACATGGAACTCAATGGGGCTTACAATGTAATCTTATAGTGTTTACTTAGAAGTAAAGATCCCATTGATGGGACTTACACATTTACATGGAAGTGTAGAATTATAACCTTAACTGTACTCAACTTCTTGCTGGAATCTACCTCTGGTATTTTCCTATTATTCTGGATTATTGCTTCACATGTATCATAAATAAGTACATGTGCATAAATCATGAGATAAATTGACACCTATTTTTTCTGCTTTGTATTTACTTTAAATCACTTTTATATAAACAACTGTCTTGGTGTAAGTTTCCCTTTGCTTCATGTGGAATACTGTAGCTAGAATTCAAATGGCTGCTTTTAGGTAAACCATTTGGATTTTGTGCATATTTATATTTATTGTCTTTTTTTTGGAGAACATATCACAAAATCACTTGTGAGACTTCAGGGACATTTCAAAAGCAGTTTGTCATGTGTTACCTCTTGGATGCAGATAAATAATTGTTCAATTATTTTAATCCTGATATTCCAAATTTGTGATGAGCTAGATCCTACATAATTCTTCAATTTGTCTTCCCTTTATTTCTGTGCACTAGTGATCCATTTAAACAGCAGCTTGACCCTGTAAATTTAGCTGTTCCAGTGCCAAAAGTGATTTCTGCCATGGTAGCAGATGCAAACCATCTATATTCATTTGCACCAAATTTGATGTTACTGCATAAAATACAGGTGCAAAGTAGCATGATCATTAGGTTCCAGGATTGTCCAGGGGCGTTTCGACAACTTCATTAAAAGTTGCTCCAGCATCATTTGCAGTCATACTGGAGCTTTTAACAATTTTGCCTGATCCTCTAAGCTGCTAATTCATTGCATTAGTTCGCAGGATTGGATCCTTAGCATTAACTTCTATAAATATATGTGGATACTTGTTTACAATCCTTACAAATATGTGGTTTTGATTGGTGTTATGTTACTTAATAAAGTTCCTACGTTGGAAGAGCAATGCAGATAATTTGTTTTGAGACTTCCTTTTGCATAAGGCAAAAGAGCAGCTGTTGCATGTAGATCTGTGTTAAAGAGGGATGTTCAACATGAAGAATAAATTGGGTGGAAAGGATCAATATAAAAAATGTAATTCCAGAACTGCACTTTGCGGTAAATGCATAATCATGCATACCATATGTTAGATGAAAATATTAAGGTTGTTACATTGAAATAGCTATCTCTCTGAAGGTGCAATTATTTGGAAAACATTTATATGTTTAAAAGCCCTGAGTTACGTCTGAGTTGAGCAAAAGCATTCCTCTGTCAGAATGATGGGAAAATTGTACATGTAGGAATTATTTCAGTGAAAATTTTGAAACACATTTTCTGACATTAGTTTATTTTGAGTGCTGTGCTAGCATATTGTCATGCAAGTCTAGTTCTTTTTGGAGATGCAGCTGTCATGAAGGGGTGCCTGGAATGTGTTTGAGAAACGACTATGCTAGGGTGATTTAGAGCTGAATCTAATGTGCAACCATGTACAAACCCAGAACTAGCAGCTTTTGTGTCACAGGAAGCCTTCAGCTTTAGCTTCCCAAACCTCTTAAAAAACATACCTATTCCGGGCACAAAACAGTGGCACCTCCAGTCTGAAGAGTGAACTGGTGGCTGAGACCATTATTGGGGAATGCCACAGTGTCTGGGCTTGTGGGGGGTGGGAGTTCAACATCTTAGAGGCCGAAATCTTCCATCCTGCATCCTTGAATAATACAGAAAGATGGACATGATTCAGGAATTTATTCTGATAAGCAGGGGCTGAGCCAGGTTAGTTCCACCTGCCCTTTTCTTACCCCATTTTCTCTTCTTCAAGGCTCTGAGCTGTGGCTTCTCCAGAGGTACTTTGCAATATGGGGCTGTATATGTTGCCGCCTGTCTCATTGCTTTCTCTGTGGCTTCCCTGGGCAAGATGCAGCTGCAGCAGCCTCTGCCCACCCAGTCTCCAGCTCTGTCCTTGGGTCCAGCTGGCTCCAACACTGGTGCAAAAAAGAAAGGGAAAGGAAAAAGGGAGAAGGGGCTCTGATGCTACTTGATGCAAATGCAGAGGTTCAGCACAGATGGGCAGGGAGTGAACAGAATGTTTTGCTTTACTTTTTCAAATTGGTTTCTGAGTTGGTCAGCTTTCAAGTAGGGTGCTTTTGAACTTAAGAATTTTCAAGTTTTTCAAGGTCGGGAACAGGAAGGTTTTTGTTTTACTCCAAGATGTGTTGAGCGTCAGTAAAGTTTTGCATCTGTGAGCACTGAAGCCTGTTCCCCTTTTTGTTTTGCTCATTTCAGGCACTTCCCCTCCTCTTTTGGTGCTTCTGTCTCACTCATGAAACCACCTCAGCTTCTTGCTCGGTTTCACTTGGGGTTGCAGCAACTGCTGCACTTCTGTTTACCCAACAAACTTCCAGGTGTGCAACAGAACTTCCCTTTCTTCTCCTGATGCCTGTGACCCTCCCATTGTGTATCCTCAACATCTGCTTCAGAGGGTTGGGGGACCCTTTGGAGCAGATTTGGGGGTGGAGCATGAGGGAGGACAAGGAGAGGAATTCCCATTGCATGAATGAAAATTGCGTTGTGCAGCGGCCATTGGATACGTCCCTCCATTCTTTTCTTCCCTTCCCTTTATCTATGGCGTCTACTGACTCCACCCACTTCTGCCAAGCACAGCTCATAGGAAGCAAGGATTTAATCTATATTTTCTTGGACTTTAATAAACTGTGACTGAAATCTGGAAGAGCAAATGAGGTAGCAGGAAAATTGAGTGGAGGTGAGAAAATCTTTGCTATCCCCTGAAGTCATCTTTGGTGCACAGTGCATCTGTGAGACAGATTGCCCTCTGGCAGGATTCTGATGAGGAAACAGGATTTGTGATGGGTGGTGAACCTGTTCCATACTGAGTACCTTGTGACTTCCAAGAGAACTATATAACTGTTTCCTGCACACTCTATGCCAAACTATGGCCCTCTAGCTTCGTTCAGCTGGTCCGCAGCATGTTAGAATTATACAATATAAGAAATAAAAGAAGCAGTAAAAATACAATTAAAAGTCACACATACAGCATCTAGCATAGTGCATTTCAATTGCTATAACAGGCAGAAAACCCAGCAATTTCCAAGTGGTCCATGGGAGCAAAAGTTTGGGAAACACTGCTCTATGCAGCTGCCCACTGGGTAGGAACTCAAGTTGCTTAACTCTATTGCATGGCATGTCCTTGCATGAGTCTGCATCCTCAGACCGTATGTTTGCAGACCACTTGTTTGAAAGCTCCTACTTTTATGAATATGGAATATGAGAGGCTGTCCTTAACCAATTCTGCATTCTCACTACTGCCTTTTGACCTCTAATGCTTAATGTCTTCGGATTACTGAATTTAGCTAAAATTGAGCAGAGGGGAGTTATATTCTTGATAAATATAATGTTTCCAAACTAAGCTATCTTTAATGACAAGTGTCCTTTTAAGATGACCTATGATTACAACCCACGGTTTTGCTGTCATTTAAGCTAGAGGGGACATGTGTTGCTGTCTTGCTCAATTGATGGGATTGGATAGATGACTGAGTGATGAGACCGCGGGCCGGGTCTTTAGCTTGTCATCTTGTCTGTAATTCAGTATGACAGCATGCATGCAAGGCCAGTAGATTTCTTCCATCGTCCTTATGCTTCGAGACAGAGCTCTCTGTGTGCTTTGGTGCTCTACATATTCTAGCTAGCTGAAACTTCCATGCATAGAAGTGTTTTCTCATTAACCATAAAGCCTTGGCAAGTTGTTTAGTATGGCTCATTTCTTGGTGAATTTCTCCTATTCTGCTATGACATACAAACTAATGTTCGTTTTGAACCAAGTTATCAAGCTACTGCCTGCTGTATCTTAGTGTTTAACATGTTACGTATGCCCTTTTCCATTTCTCTCATTCAGGTGGTCTCTTTCCTCCTTTCAATCTTCCATTATCAAAACAGCTAGGAATTGCTAGGAATTATGGGATGTTTCAAGGAGCATGATATAGCTAGTTGTCAGTAAGGAATTCTAAGCACCTTTATACCTTGACTTGGTAGGTCAAGCCCTTCTGTTATTTTGTGGGTTTTTAGCTAAACGAATTAGTACAATTATTTTCTCTCTCAAATTTTGGTGGATGAAAGGCTGTTGGAAAAAATGGGAGGAAATTGCCTGGTAGAGACAGAGAATAAAACAGCTGAACTAATCTTAGGTGTTAATTAGAATATTAACAATTCAAATATAGTTTCTCTCTCTCTCTCTTTCTAAAAGATTAGCTGTTCTTTTCATTACTGGGTTGTTTTTTAACACAAGCAAATAAGTGTTTCGTTTTTTGAAAGATGAAGCATCCTCCGTGCAGTCAGGTTTTCTAATGTACTAGTCTATTTGAATTTTTATTTCTGTTAATCTGCATGGATCATGATATATTAACACACGCATAAAGGAAATTACCATAATATTTAAAAATCTGTCCCCATATATTATGCATAGGTATATTGCATGTTGAAAAATATATAGCATTTGTTCTGAAAGTAAGCTCATGGAAAGAGCATGGAGATTGGGCAGGGGGTGGGACAAGGAGATCGGGTGGGCGGCTGGGATGGTGAGGGTGTGTGTGTCCTGCTTTGCCCTCCCAAAATGTTGAAGGGTATGATGTGTAACTTAATATACAATGCTCTGCAAAGGCATTGCTCCACAGCTTCAGTAAGATCTTATAAGGACTTTCTTTCCTCATGCCACTTCAGTTGTTAGGGGTCTCTAACCGGAGTACGGGTGGAGAACATGTTGCCCTCCCAGATGTTTCTGGGCCCCTGGGATAGCTCAGTTGGCAGCGCATGAGACTCTTAATCTCAGGGTCGTGGGTTTGAGCCCCATGATGGGCAAAAGTTTCCTGCGTTGCAGGGGGTTGGTCTAGATGACCCTCGTGGTTCCATTCAACTCTACAATTCTATGATAACTGTGATTGCGACTCGCAGCTCCCATCATCCCTGACCAGTGGAAATTGGAGTCCAGCAATGTATGGAGGGCCACTGGTTCCCCACCCCTACTCCAGGCAGACATTTCTCTCTGCTTCTGGCATCATCCAAAATTACTACAGGATACTTGGAGGCTGTGTCCAGCATCTGAGCAGTTTTTACTTATTAAGCAATTCAGGAGCCAAGTTTGTGGCTTGGAAGTATTTTCACGAGGACTTAAGCGAAAAGGTTACTAAAAGCAAATTAATTTTAAAAAATAACTGTGAGCTCCTGTTATTAGGAGCATTGAACCGGCAGCCAAAGTTTGACAACAGTTTCTCCACCTTAATCAGTGGGCCTTTCTTGGGGTGGCCTTAATTTTTATTTTTAACACTTGGATTTTGTTCCCAATGACTGAACTTCTTTGCTGCCAGCGTGTTACCCTTTGTTTTGAATAAGAAATTTATTGTGCAGAATGAATGTTGGAATGGGACAAGGGATTTGGTCTTTTCCTTGTATTTTTTCTTCTTCCCCTGATTGAAATTGGTTCCGCAAAACGGAAATTTGCCAAGCAAATCTGTTTACAGAACACTCTGCTTCTTAATATAACGAAAGCAACCAGAAGGAGGAAAATGCTGCAAAGCATCAAATAAAGAGCTGTTTTAATGGGGCAGTGACATTTTGCAGAATTTTCCCTTTTGTATTAGTTTCCTGCCCGTTAGCTATGTCAGCGTAAGAATTTTCTTGCTGTGTTGCTGGGAATGTGAATAAAATAACTGTGCCCAACTTGCTCCTGATATGTCATAGCCATGATTTCTGTCCTGAACCATAGAATGAAAATCACTTGCATGCATAGTTTGAATGCTTTGTCTGCCACATAAAATAAAGGCTTGTTTTCCCCCTAGAAGAGTGCAATGACCTCTAGAGGGAGCCATCTGTCTAAGTCACCTTGCTAATGGTTTTTTTCTGTCTCCCATAAGTGGCCCTGTAATGGCAAAATTTGGCAACACTGGATCTGTAGCTATACTGTTAGCTCTGATATGTGGATCTTTGTAGACTGACCTCCGGCAGAAGAAAGTGAAAGAATAGACCAATGGTAGCCGTGAATAATTTGTTGTGTGCCTGTAGCCACAGTCAGCAGATGATGTTTTATTCCATAATAAAATGCACACTTCTGGGGCATATTTGTAGTAACTACTAACCACAGTGACAGTCACTCTGTATTTATTGTTTTGATGTCACATTCTTTTGTGCTACACACCCAAATAATACTTTTCTAAAGATCATGAGTATGTTGACAAAATGTACAACATTGGGTTAAAAAATTAGACTGCAGAATAAATTATTCTGGGAACTTTGCCCATTCTCTCCCCACCCCCACTTTACAAGGTGGAATTCATTGCACTATAGTCTAAAATAATTTGCAATCAAGATATGGAGAAAATTCCTTTATAAAAATGCTGGGTTGACATTAATGTAATTTTTCCATTGGAGCCATGAAAGACTCTTAAATGAGAAAGAGTTGTATAATGAATAACTGTAACTAGCAGTACGGAGCATAATTGCAATAGTTTGTTTGTTTACATTTTGTGTATTTTTCCCTTTCTCTCTTGGAAAAAAAGTTTCCAAAAAGTAACTTCTTTTTTGTGCTGTTTATAGATTTATTTTTCCAAAACAATGCTATAGTTTTTGCTATTTAGATGTAGCAAGAGAATATTATTTCATGAATGAAAGCTTTAAAATAACATGAAACATTTCTGTGATTTTTTTCTTACTGAACAGTTTTTTTTCAGTTTATGTACCCAACTGCTGCCCCACTTTTTGGGTACAGAACATTTATTCTGACTGTTCTCTACACACATTTTTTTGCTTCCAAATACCTTCAAAAGTAAAGAGTCACCCACAGAGTAAAATAATTTTGAGGGGTGGGATGGGGATCCATATTTATTATTTTGCAAGGCACAAAGGCTGTCTGTTTTTAGCTGGGAGACCAAAAAATGATGCATGCCAAACCACATCCCTAATTGACCTTTTAAAAATTCATTTTACTCCAGGCACCCCCCCTACCCAAAATCATGAGAAAAATGAATTTTTTTATAAATGATGATTATCAGTGGGATAATTCTCAGACTACTGCTGTGTATGAGCTACCTGTGAATGATGGATTAATAATTCTTGAAGCATTGGCCCCCAAACTCTTATGCCTGTAACGTTTATATAAGTGTGTGAAAGAAGAAAAAATCTGAAAACTACATTTTCATGTCTTGAATTGCTAATAAGCTGGACATCCTTAGTAGTCTAATGAATAAATGTAATAGTTTCAAATTCATACTGTTGAATGGTTTCTTTAAATGTAAAGGTTCATCATTGTTCCACCCGATGTGTATGTCTTTAAGGGGCCAGAGCAAGGGCCAGAGCAAGATAAGGAGACCCAGCTTTACAGCTGTGAAACATAGCAGGTGCTGCTGAGTTGTATTGATTAAGCTGTGTTGGCAATTGGGTGTAGTATATAAGAAGCAGCGCCTAGCTCTCCCATTACCCTGGGGGATGGGTTGGTGGTTGGGTCATGTTTGTTTGTTGATGTATTTAGTGTATAAGGAGTTTTTGTTTTTGTAATTAAAACCTTGTTTAAGTTATTTCTGAGTCCCTTTTTAATGCATGGTCTCCCCAGCAAGCTCTCTGCAGCGCTACCATACTGCAAATAGCCAACACATACATGCCAATTAAATAAAAATGAGTGTTCAGGATAGAGTGTGGAAGCACTCAGTCAAGCATACCTGTTTAGAGTTTCCCTTCATTCTTGGTTTCCATAACTGTGTTGCAATAAACCCAGATCTGGAATTATCCAGGGGAAGATGGAATTTTTATGTTTTAAAATTAAAGCTCTTTGGGATGAAAGAAAGATAGCTTTCCCCCTCATGAAATGAGATGACAGGTTGGCATATCTATAGTATTTGCAGGGTACGAAGTGTTTTACAAATCTTATTTAATTAATGTCATAACACTCCTAACATTGTTTAGACTTGTGATTTGCCCAAGGCCATCCAGTGAGCATTAGACAGGCCTGCGTGAGAGTTTCAGATTTGGATGCTCACACTGCTAATGTTTGGTCTGACGGTTGCTGATGCAGCTATTCCTTGCAGTGGCAGCTAGTCAGAATGGGAATTAATAGCTGTATGAAGATGTGGTCAGCCAGTTGTCGTCTTTAGCAAAAAGCTTGGTTTAATTGGAACTCAGCATGTGCCCCAGAAATATGTTCTCTTTTGGCTTTGCTTCAGGCAATGAACACGGCACTATCGCCAAGGAAACTGGAGAAAACAACAATGGTTTAAGCTCAGTTTGGAGCTGGAATGGTTTAAGCCAGGCATAGGTAAACTCCGGCCATCCAGATGGTTGGGACTACAGTTCCCATCATCCCTGACAACTGGTCCTGTTAGCTAGGGATGATGGGAATTGTAGTCCCAAACATCTGGAAGGCCAGAGTTTGCCTATGCCTGGTTTAAGCCAAACTTCCGACCATAGCAACAACCTTCATATATGGACCCCACTAAGTGCAAAAAATGATAATTCCCTGGAACTTTTACCATATCAAATGCAAGTGCACTTCCTTATTTAGCTATTCATTAACTCTGGGAAAGTAACAGTGAGGCTTCCTCCAGCAAGCGGCTTCTACCAGTAGCTGAATTAAGTCTAAATGTACTTTTCCAGGGAAATATCTGCACCTTTCCTTGGGGAGGGGGGCACCTGAATATGAGTTCTGATTGGCTAGAGTCCCCAAGTGACCTTCCTGTTACACTTCAGCAGAAAAATTAGTTGGTTATACCTGCTGACACTTCACTAACCGTGTCCTTTGTCACATAGTGTACTTTCTGTCCAGCACTGTCCTTAATTGCAAAGTCAGTTGCAGCCTGTGGGAAAAATGATGCTCTACCTAAAAACATGGAGCAACACTGTTCTTATCCCAGCACAGGGCCACCATGGTTTTATTTCCCACCAGTTGTTGGTTGTATTTCCTACCCCAAACTATGGCAGATCTGGCTACCAATCCTTCCTCAGACAGTATAATAAATAAACTTGAATGTTTTGTTCTTTAAATTACACTGCCGGCTTTAAAACTTGTTAATAAATTCTTCTCCTTTGTGCACAATTAATATTACAGTAGTGGGCTTTAGACATGGAATGAACATATATATGGATTTAGAGATAGAGAGATAGAGATAGATAAAGCCTACTTATAATTTATATCATTAGACATTATCAATGTTTCAGTAGTTCCTTGAATTGTGTAGTGTCTCTTTAAGGAAACTGTTACATCCTCAAATAAGTTCATTTCCCTACTTAAAACTCATCATTTTCCTAACTTCACCCCTGCTCTCAATCTGGTTAAGTACCAGCTCTGGGTAAGGACTCACTGGAAATAAACATGGTTGAATGGCGTTTCTTAGCTGTTACTCACCATCAGCTTCTTGTGATGGATGCTTTTTTCTCTGGAAATCTTGCTTCAGCTTCCCTTGAAGTCTTCCTTTTGATTAGGGACCTGTGGACCAGGACACAGCAAGAAGGAGTCATGGTGTCCTCTTCTGATGTCTTCTTCCTTCTTAAGGCCAACTGCATAATACTGTCACACTGACCAGAAACTGGATAACCACCTCTGAAGTCTTCTCATAACTTGTGCCTCTGCCTTAAGTGGTATAAGTTAATAATCACCTCTTCACCTCCTTCCTAGCACTAGACCATACCACCCCTGGAAAGGGCTGTGTTTTCCTGCTCATTGGCCTTTCTAAACTAATGGGGGCAAATAGAACATTCTTAAATGGCCTCCAAAGCTTCACCTTTTGAATCCTCTAGTCTACTCTACTGTATAAGGTAACAGGCCTAGTTTTGATGTCTCTATAGCTTCATACAGTTATGGCCCCATTTAACCTCTTCCTGTTATTTATAAACACAACAGTATTGCCTTTTAAAACACAGTATTATTACACACAGCTATTCTAATGCATAGGAAACAGGTCCTACTTCCTGCATCTGCAAAGAGGTGGGCTAGATGAACTTCCAACTCTATGGAAGTTGGCTATTAAGAATCCTTGGTTTCTGACTGTGTGGTTGCCATGTTATCCTAAATTATATTTAGATGGCTAAGTGGCTACTCGTGTGTTCCTCCCCTTGGAGGGAAAAAAAGGGAAAGGCCATGTGCAAAGGAAGTGGGAGAGAATTAGCCTGAGGATTTGGACTGGATTTGGATTGTAGTCCATAGATCTTGTTGCAGACATAAAGATCACATGAAAATAAAATACTTAAAACAGAATGTGATGTGCATATTTGCCAGGCTAAATGAGTCCACGTGGGTGACTTCCATTCCATGCAACTACACAATATTCACCATGCTTTTATTTTGTTTTTCTGTTAGAAAATAGTGCTTCAGTGGGTACTGGCAGAGGTTGATGTCGTTTTACAAAAGCCAGCTACTGCCCTGTGGAAGCTGTTGCCGGTGCTCTTGCTTGGAAAGACCAAGTGCCCCCAAATCTAAACTGGTCTCCTGCATTGGTAACATGTTGTATTAACAGCAGATTCATTTATTTCCTAATTAACAAAAAGTGTTCTTTTTATTTAAGCCATCTGGCTGGAGAGCATGTTGTTTAGCTGCTTGCCATTACAGATTGGAGCTACATGGGGAGAAAGATGTCTCAGTTCTTGTTTTGGCTTGTGTCTGGTTTGATGTCGTAGGTGCACTATTGCACATGCTCGTCACTGCAGCATTCATTCCTCACTGACTGCAAAAAAGTGTGTTAAAATATTTCTTTTTACAAACAAAACAGGTATTGTTTTGACAGCCTATTTCATGCCACTCCATCAATTGCAATTCAGACTTGCGGTTCTCTTTACACAACAATGAAAGAACCTGGAGCCAAGCTCTTTAGATGACCCTCCTCTGTAGGGGCTTGCCAAGAATTTTAAAATAGCCCCATGGTGGTCTCTTGGCTCATCTTCATTAGTGATGATGTACTTGTGTGGATTCAGTGCTGTAACATGAAAGGTCTACTGCTTTTTACCGATCCATCTTCTCTGCGGTTCCCTTCTGTTTCTCACTGTGCATGTAACCTTTCCCTGGTCTTTCCTAGCTGTGCTGTCTCACATCTCCATTCTGTCTTGAAGTGGAATTCTGCCTGACCTCTAAATTTTCTCTTTCCTGTGCAGCTTTCATTGTTTCTCCACCTTTGCTATATGAGTATTAGTCCATAAATTATCATTTTCAACAGATATGCAGTTCTACTTTCCCATAATATCAAAGATCTTCTAGCCTCTGCTATAATCTTCTACTGATACTACTCGTCTTGACCTCCAGGAATATATTAATAAGAATATATTCTTGCCTTACAGGCCAGCCTTCACCTTAGTTATTCAGGCTGATAAAAAGCATGCAATTGGATAGCTTCCACAGCTAAAACAGTAGCAAGCAAAATTGTGCTCTGTAGTCTAGCATTGGCCAACATTATACTCCAGAATTGCAGAAGACAGTATTGGGCCCTGAATTGTTTCTTTGACACATTAGTACTTCACTACACATGCAGGTTGACTTGGGAGCAGTCTGACTCGAGACCACAGTGGAAAAAACACATGATTTGTATCCAGAAGGTCGCCGGTTCATCCCCTCCCATCTCCAGCTAGTGGTTGGAAAGACTCCTGTCTAGAACTGGAGAACCTTGGCCACTCAGTGTAGACAACACTGATGTAGGTGGATTAAGAGTCTGACCCTGTATAAGGCAGCTTCCTACCCGGTAGAGAGTACTTTTTCTCAGATGACTGAATCATCAAGATAGCCTCATGCATTTGGGAATAGAGGCATAGTTATGGACCATCTGGATTCTAAGCATACCTCCCTCTGCCTTGCAATCCAAGGCCCACTGTCTAGATGTGATGGTGAAAGAAACAGGTTTCAGTGTGGAGTGTGAAATTGGAGCTGGCAAGGAAACTGGAACAACTAATTGCATGGATGCAATAGATGTTAGGGGTGCTCTGCTGAACAGAGCCTCCTCAGATATAGTTTGGCTTAAAACAGGGATGGGGAAACCATGGCACTCCTGACATTGTTGGACTCTAGTTTACCTTTGTGCCAGCCAGCATGACCAGTTGTGACTGTGGTACAGCTGGTGCCTACCCTTTTAGATCCCAGCAGAAGACCTGGTTATTAGCCCAGGATGTCGGAAATCAAGCCTTTATCGGGAGAAACTGGCAACTCTCCCAGGCACCCGGCTTGGTCTCCTGTTGACCTCCTTGGCTGCATTCCCCAGCAAGTATTTCTAGTGGAAATACTTACATTTTTATTTCACTGCTTTTGACTTACCTGCCTTGCTTTTTGTAACAGCATTGTGAATTTGAAGTGGTTTTAATTGTAACTCACTCTAAAATGGTTGTTCAGTGAAGAGTAGGTAGGAATTTTTTTAATTTAATAAAAAACATACATTTTAAAAAATGGTGAGGGATGATGAAAGTTGTGATCCAACAACATCCAAGCCCATGAACTGATTCATGGTAGAGTGGCTCTCATGTTTAGAAATATACATTTGTAAGGTAAGCTTTGGCACAGAGAAGAAGTCTCTGCTCTCTTAACCATGCTTAAGTAGACTGGGAGTGCATCATGGATTCTTTTTAATTTTAACTCTGGTCTAGAGTTATATCTGCACAGTGGTTAACACTTTTATCAAGGTTTGCAACTCTTATTCAAACTTGGTTTGAAGCACTAATTTAAATTTCTAGGAAAGGATGTGCTCCATAGGTCATGCCTTATATTTATTAAAATGTTTATGTTATTCAAATATGCCTAACAGTTTTCTAGTTGGGCTTTGTGGAGAAGCACCAGTTTTCAGGTAGGCTTACAGGTTAGCCGTGTTGTTGTCTGGTGGCCATCATATTACTCAGCAGAGATGTAGACAGGCAAGTTGACTTAGCAGGGTGTCAAGATGGGCATTTCAACATGGAATCAAATGCATAGAAAGTTCATAAAACTGTATTGCAACATAATTTTTTTGCAGCAGCAAGGTCATTAACTATTCTCTAAAACTGTAATGAAAACCTTGCTGTTACGAAAAATTAGAAAAAAATACCGGTAACCCATATCACCAACTAATAGGATACCCATATGTCATATTTTTTAAATAAAAACCCCAACACAGTCTTTAAAACTTTAAACTGAATATGAATTTGTACCAGAGATGAGGGCAAGCAGAAAGACCAGCATTTTTGAGGTTTGATGCTGTACTTTCAAAGCAACCAAGATTACACTCCTCTGCTGAAAAGTGTGCCTTCTCTTTTGCCTCTACTACTTTCACATCAAATCTCAGGAATGATGCCATCGCTCCAGGTCAAAGGAAAAGCAGAACCAGCTGCCTTAAGCCAAACAAAGAGCAGGTTTGCTGTCCTCCCTGCTGTTTTGGCTTGAGCTCTTCAGACTGGAAAATTCAGAAGCATGATCTCTCAAGCTTTGTAAATGCCAAAGCCATCTAAGAGGAAAATAGGACAAGGCTACCCCCAGGCAAGTTTGTACAGAAATCCGCTGGCTGCAAGGAAGATTTACGGTAAACATCGCATAGGATGGAACTGCTCCATGGAAATTATTCCACAAGAACAATCCTGAAGGAGTACATATAGGCAGATTTTAAAAAGGAACATCTGGGAAATATGGTAGAAGGCAAAGGAAGACTCAACAGATGAGGTATTGCCTTTTCAACAGGGACCACAAGACGGCCATCAACAACAAAGCTGTCTAAACAATATTGGCTCGGCCTTGGAAGGTGATTTCATGTTGACAAGGCACACCAAAGGAGAAAGCACATGGGGTGTGCTTCTGCTGTGCTTCAGGGGAATCTGGGTAGTGAGAGACTGCACCCTTCACATGCTGCTCTGTAAATGGAAAAAAGTGAAAGCCTAGCCTTCACAGACCCAGTCTTCCAGTGCTTGCTGGAAAAAGGCACCATAGCTTTAGAAGCAACTACAGCAGCTTGTAAGCAAAAAGGATTAGGTAACACAAAGTGCCAATAAGAACCTTGAGCCTGGAGAAGGATCCAGATTTGGACCAAGTGCCGCAAGAATACTTCTAAATTGGACTCACTATTCTAAAAATATACTCAGTATTCATCAATTTCATTTTGAGCCCAGACACTTTAGTATTATGTCTCTCGATATTCTTATAAATGCCATACTGTAAGATAGATGCTTTGATAAATGGTGAAATGCAAAATCTAGCAAAATTGACCTATAAAGGTAGGGAGCACCAGTTGACTATTATATTGATGATTATATTTGCTCCAGATTGAGCAAAATTGCCTTACTGTAAAACACTTTGGGAATACACAATTCCCCATCTAATGTGACATTATTATTATAGATTTGGAGAGGGGGAGGAAATCTAAAATGTTAGCCAGGGAAGTTACCATTGAACGCCCTTTTTGGTACTGATTTCATTATCACTAGGATAAATCTTAAGAAGACTGTTCTGATTTAGAAATATGACTGCTTATCATTGAGGTGTAGAAACTTCATGCTACATGTTCAAGCAGCAACTTATGTACAACATAAATGAGGGAGTTAAAACTAAGAGCATTTATTCATGACCAGCTTTCTGTGTGTTGAGTAGTATGATGAGTCATATTTTTGTTGTTGTTGACAGATTATCCCTAAATCATTCAGTCTAGCTGGGAAACTTCTTCCCAGGGAAAGTCTATCTTTAAAGTTTGGAGATCAGTTTTTGTATCCTTTGTTTGATTATTGTAAGAGAAGGCACCAATTCTCCAGAGAATATTTATGGGGTGTGTGTGTGTGTGTGCATGAGGGGCTGCAGGGTAGCGGAATTCCTAAAAATTGTGTGCTTCCCCCATTATGCTGGTTGATTCCTTCTGTTGGTGGACAGAGATCATTGGTTACCACTCACTGATTATTTGTTTGGAATTGTTTCACAATACTTTTTTTCCAATTGGAGTTTCATTAGTTTTTCTTTGTTGATTTGTCAAGGCATAACAGGTTTTATACTTCATATTAATGTGGTTGGTTAGATAGGAGGATGAATAGGGCATTCTAAACTCTGTTCAGTTTTGCGTTTGCTGGATTTTGCCTTTTAAAACAGCTAAAGTTGCATGAGCTGTCGCTAGCAAATGGCGTATTGTTACATCACCCAAACAGAATGGGTTTCTGCTTTTGGACAACATATCTCTAAAGTTCCTGGCAGATGGCTATCGCAGGAGGTTAGGAAGGATTGAACAGTTTGACAAACACAGCCTCGGAGAACCTCCTCTGGAATTCTAGAGAGGGTTTTCCAGCTAGACTTAGTCATTCCCCCCCCTCAAATGTCTTGGCATGGCTGATCACTTGAGGGTGACATATGGTAGGAACACGCTCTGAGGGACAAGCCTCCCGGATGGCAAACAGCACCATGCAAAACAGACAGATGGTGGCTTATTCAACCTTGGAAAGTCGTTTAATCCTACATACTGGCAAGGCCTGAGTGTAAAGAGAGACAGACACACAACCCTAATGGAATCTGAAGCAAAGATGTGATGAGTTCACTTACAAATTGCCTAGGACTGAGACTGCAGTAGAGTTGAACTGATATGGTTGTACACAAGGATTTGTGAACATACGAGTTCTGGTTGTTTTGAGCAACATCATAGACTAAAGAACCTCGAGCAAAGTCAGCACTTGTTCTTTCAGCTAAAATTAAAATGGCATATTTGAAAAGCCACTGATGATTTGAATTGTTCACTTGGTTGAAACTTTGCTTAGGAGAGGTACCTGCTTCTCTTCAGGATTCTGATTACATTTTAAAAGTGAAGTATTCAGGTCTCATTTTCTCTGTCACAAACCATCAGGTTTATAAACACTCCCCCACAACCACATTTATATTGAATTTATTTGCATAATACATACAAAGAAAATGGTGAAATACAATATTTTGCTGGCTAACAACAGAGACCAACAAACTAAACAGTGGTAATCCATTAAAAATCCAGTTTGTTTTTTAAAAAATACTAATATGTTGGGTTTTTTTAATGTAAATTTTAAAGTCATAAAACCTCATATTTAGGTTCCAACTCAACTAAATCGTTGTACTGGCAGGAGCCAACACAATGATTCCTGCTAGTGCAACAGCGCTTTCCTTCCTCTCTGCCTCTCATGCCCTCCTCCAAATCGTCTCTTGGGGGTTGGGAGAAGTCCCAGAACAGCACATGGAGGTGAGGCACATTGTTCCATCTGGGAAGCAGAAATGCTGATGGAACGATTGTATTAGCACGATACTGAATTCCATCCTTAAAAACCTCACCAATAGTGAGAAAGTGTTAACCTTTTTATGATTATTGGAGCGATATTTTATAGAACAGAGTCCTCCTGTGTAGAAAGTCCTTCTAAAGGATGTCCAGCTTCTGAGTTGTCTTGAAAATGCATAATAATTACTCTTCTGATCACTGCAATAGTTGGTCAAGAGTTTGGAAATATTCGTGGCTGAGATTTCTTCTTTGTGTTTCCTTCTCAGAATATTTGCCATCACATGCTTGGTTCCAGAGTGCTCATATCCACTTGAACTGGTTTCAAAGGGATACTGTGATTCTCCAATGTCTGCCTTGGTAAGTAGAGCTGTGTGTGGTGTATCCACAGTCAACCTCCCACCTGATACAGAGACTCTTAAGTTTTGTTTTGAGTAGCCCTGTCATTCTTGATTGTTTTCCCCATCTTCTCCAACACTCTTACCCAACTTGGTGCCATCCAAATGTTTTGGACTACTATGCTGACTGGGGCTGATGGATGCAATAGCCCAAAACAGCTGTAGGGGAAGGTTGGTGGACACCAGACAGATGTCAATTCTCCCAAAACACCTCAAGATCAATAGTTTGAAAGGGTTTGCAAAGATTTTAAAATGTGGCTATTAGAATGATAATAAAGATAGTCTTTCTTACAATGAAAACTGAAATTAAAAATTAAAGTGACCGATCAATATGCACATGCTGCCTCTTTCATTTTGTAGGCAATAGAAAAGGTTTTCATTTTGTAGACAGGCTAGACACAGCCTCCTCTTAGAGATTGTGTTTCAAAAAAGGCATATATTTCCTTGCCTGCATTCCTCTGGATACGAATAGCTAAGAGGTGCAGCACTTAGGAGAGGAGCCAGCTGTTTGCAGAAATGTCTTCTCTGCCTACAAAAGAGAGAGAAAGTTTCATGGCTCCTAGAAAAACTGACACAATTGTGTTTTCTCAGACATTTCTGCTGAAACAGCGAAGTCTACGTCAAACATATGTATCACCAATGATTCCTTCTCACCCCCAATATCAGCCAAGGACAATGGGAACACAAGTCAAACCGTACATTTTTATATGCTAAATAAAGTCCAAAAGGTGGCCATAGGCATGTGAACTATTTGTCCTTTCAATACAAGTTCATATACTCTTCTTTATAAAGCAGGTGTGGGAAACCTTTGGCTTTCCAGATGTTGCTGAACTGCAGCTCCCATCACCCCTGGCAATTCTCTATGCTTGCTAGGGCAGATGGGCATTGTAGTTCAACAACATCTGAATGGCCGAAGGTTCTCCACTGCTGTCATAAAGCAGGAGGTATTGTTGGGGGTATTGCCTGTCTCATGTTATTTTTATCTATACTACATAGCAGGGGAGGGTAACTTGTTCTGGGTAGCTGGCCAGATCTTTCCCAACCACTGTGGATGAAATCTGACCAATGGGAGGGTCCGCTTGCCTCACATCAGGTGACCTGTCTTTACTCGCACTTTCTGAAATGAAACCGTGTGGGTGAAGGCACATCCCACAAAGCAGTGACAATTGGCTGGTCTTCAGCTGATTGTTTGTGCTTGCAGATTGCTAAGCACAGCACTACCTGACCACTATCTGATGTCATAATAAGGCAGGTGAGTGTGATTTGGCCTAAATGGCCGAGCAGCCTGGGTTCTCCACTGCTCCCATATTGTGTGAGGGTTGCTGGCTGACCATCTCTTTTGCAGGTTGATTCCTGGCTAATAGTCCAGAATGATCAGTTGATGTTTTATCAAAGGTAGCTAACAATGGGAAATGCTCCCCTGGTACCCATGAGTCTCTCTCTCTCTCTTGGAATGTGATGCAGTCAGAGCTTGGGGAAGGTAACATAGTGCAACACCCTCAGGCTTTGCTAGAAATTAGAGAAAAACAGTTAAAAGGTGTTTTACTACTCAGATTTGGAGGCAATGAGAGAGCTGAGAGTTTTCTACTTCAGGTTTAGCTGGAAATTAGGGTGCAAGTTTGTGGAACAGCAGATGTTGCACTGTAGAATCTGATGCAGGTTGTGTTGTCTGCTTGCAGAAGTGTCTTTTCCTTCTTTTGCTCTGCTTTTACAAGTAAAGTAGATATGAGGAAGGCACCATAAGCCTCCAGTGCTCTTTTAATCAATGGCAGAGCCAGTATGGTATAGGGAACACAGAAGAAGCACCAAATTTGGTACTGAGCGCACAAGAATTCTGAGAACCACAGAACCACTAAAGAGGTCATCCAGGAAAAGTAAATCAAGCCCCGTGTCACATTCTTGAACTAGGATCCCTGAACTGCAGAGTTGCACTGGCACTACAGGACTGAAAATAATTTCCTTATCCTGATCCCAGTCCTAATTTGGGGGCGAGAAGATTCCAGTGCAGCCCACAGACCTTTCCTGGCAAGCACATGCTGCCATTGGCTTGGATCCCAGGTTGCTCTGCTATTCATGCAGGGGCAGTGATTGCCACTCACACTGCAACCCCTCTTCATACCGAGGCTGATTCTGTCCCAAACCCAGGCCTGAATTGACTGAAATGGGTCAAGATAATGTGTTCCCTCCAAAACAGTCTTATAATCCAATATATATTCATCTTAATAATAGCAGTTTCCCAAGGATCCTGGGTGGTATTCAGTGTTAGTCCTACTCAGAGTAGACCCATTAAAGCTAATAAACATGACTAACATAGATTCATTAATTTCAGTGGGTTTACTCTGAGAAGCACTTAGCTGAATACAACCCACGGTCTCCAACTTAAAACAGAAAAACCAAATCAAATGTTTTGAGGCAAACCCCATTTTCAATAAAGCAGACAATATTCTACTCATTTCAAAGGATGGGTTGGGGAGAATAAATTCTAGGGATGTTTCCAACATATTTCTTGAAAATACATCATCTCTTCTGTCTCTGAACGTCCTTAATTTTGTTAAAAAATAACACTTTAAGCTTTTGGGCAGTTCTTCCTAAGAACCAGCATCTTACTGTTATTTTTCTTAGCATATCCTTTCATTATTAAAAGCTTGGTTCTGCAGCTGTCTTGCATACAGATCCTCCTTTTGAAGTCCCAATAGCTTCCAGTGCTGAGTGGACTGCAGACTTTGCCTCTGTGTGTTTTGGTTATGTAACAGATTAGATCACTATGAGCATAGTCGGATGATCTCAACAGAGTGGAAATGAGGGATTTGAGCAGGAGAAAGAACGAGATATAGCGTTTGTTTTAGTTTTATTTAAAAATGATTGCTACCCAAGATAGCAGCAAGCCGTTGAATGTGAAAGTAACCACACCATAGCAAATGCTACCTTCCTTTCATTTTTATATTAGAAAAATGTTTCCCATGTGGCAAATAATAGGATTATTGGGAGTCAATCAAAGCAACACAAGGGACTAATGAAAGAAGAGGGGGAAAGATACATGGCTTTCTAAACATCATCAGAAATCTGTAGGTCTCTTTAGTTAAATATTTGGGAATGGCTGTCTAGTAAATTATTTGGTTAGCCACATAAATAAAACGTTATCTCATCTATATTTTCCTCATCCCTCTGAGTAAAATTCATGCCGCATCCAATTTGGATACAAATATATAGTCTGATAATTTGTCAATAGCTAACATGTGCTGTGGAAGTTAAAGGTCAAGGCAGTGCAATATACACTCTTAAAAATGCCACTTCTACAGGAGACTAAGGGGCTGGTTAGCACAGTTGGTTAGAGCGTGGCACTAATAATGCCAAGATCCCTGTATGGGCCATTGTACATACTTCGTACAGGAGATGAAACGAGTTTCAAGCACAACCTGCAAAGTTAAATGTGGGTAGTTTATATCCATTCCGTATCTGTCCTATTTTTTTCATATTCAGTATGCCTTAGTAGGCAAGTACTTTTTGACTATAAAAGAATAGTGGTGTGTGTTTTTTTTTTAAAAAAAACCTCATTACATTTATATATGTCGACATTGATCATTGTGCTAATTATGTTTATAAAGTTGGGGTCCAAGTCCAGTTGGCTCCTCTGCTACAGTAGGATACTTTTCCATTCTTACCCCTGCTGAGTTTTAGTATCTGGTAGCTGTTTCCATTTCACATAGCAAGCAAGTGGCATAATAGTATGCTGATTGTGCTGAATAATGGAAATGTATTCCCCATAGGATAAGTGACTTTGTGGCATACTACAGATGTAGCACTAAACTGTGACCCCCATCTGCACTCTACATTTTAAAGCAGCATCGTACCACTTTAAACAGTCAAAGCAGTGCAAGGTGGTAGCACACAAGCATGAGACTTATGTATGTATTACCAACCTAAACCATAGCTTTGTATTACATCCATACCAGGCCTGTGTTTGTGCCAGCATGTGTATCTGCAAGAAATTATTGTCCTCATCAGAAAATAAAAAAGTGCAAGTTAGGAAGACACCCTTTTCTAAAGCACAGTTCAGTCCTGCTTTACCTTTTGCTACCTCTTATTGTGCTTGCGCAGAGATCTCAACAACATGCCCTTTTAAAATCTGCTTTTGGTTTTTCTTGGAGAGGTGTCATTTTTCGCTTCAAGAAGCTGAAAGTTCATCATGCGACTCAACAGATCAGTAAATGAAGTTCTCGAGTGTTACACACATGCAGTGCACACTTCAGACAAGCAGCTAACTTCTCCACTTCTGATAGCATTCAACTGAAATCTCAATTTTCATAATGTTTTAATGAAGAATGAAAAGTTGCCTTAATGTGGATGAGTAAGCCATTCCTCAAGTCATCAAAGAAGAAGGGGAAAATAATAATTAGAAGTCATGCCTGAAAGACTATCTGGTGTAGTTTAATGGCAGGTTGGCATTTTCTTCCCGCCCCTCAAATCATGCCAGGGGAAAATTGCTGATGAGTCATGATATGCTGTAAGTGCTGCAATGAGGGGGGCATGTCAGAGTATGATTCATAAATAATTGCTGGTAGGGATGAAAAAGTCGACCAATATCCTATAAAACAGGGAGACCTGTCACAAAAGCTTAATCTACCTATAGTCAGGGGATAAATTAATGACCAGTATGGATGTCACTTTAATTTTGCTCCTGCAACGTGTGTACCACAATGCAGTTACATTGGGTACTTTCAAAACAATTTAACAGGAATTCAGTACTGAACTGTCTGGGGCTTTGTTGCTTAATAAGATGAATCTCAAACTTTTTTTTGTAATTATGCTGAACAGCAGTTAGTAACTTTGCAGGCTTACTCATTTGCAACTAATGATTTCATTTAATAAAATATAGTAAATCTAGACAACAACCAGGACATTTTGCTAGCATTTCCTATGCCACAATTTGGAAGTGTGTATAAGCAAAGCAAACTTTATAGTCTGCAAACTATACAAGGCAAAGGACAATAGCGAGTCTCCACAAATCAAAATAAATTCTGTTTGAATTAAGGCTTTCAAAAAGCATTTGACAAAGTCCCTCTCATCAAAGGCTCTTGAGTAGACTTGGCAGACATGGGATGACAGCTCTTCCTATGAATCAATAACTGATTAAGAAAAGGAAGCAGAGAATAGGAATATCTGGACTGTTCTCAGTTAAGTCACAGTGTAAGTTATCCTGAACATAGGTGCGAACTCCCTTGGAACCGTGGGTGCTTGAGCACCCACAAAATCCCCCATGAAGGGGCTGGGCACCCACAAATTTTGGTGCCGTGGCCATGAACGCTGCATGGCACCCATAGCCCCGGGCACCCACAGTTGTGGGGCCAAGCTGGCACTCCTGATCCTGAATATGTAGTGTTGCGGGTGGTGCTGTGGTCTAAACCACTGAGCCTCCTGGGCTTGCTGATTGGAAGGTCGGTGGTTCAAATCCCCGTGACGGGGTGAGCTCCTGTTGCTCTGTCCCAGCTTCTGCCAACCTTGCATTTCAAAAGCATGCCAGTGCAAGTAGAGAAATAGGTATGGAGAGAAGGTAAACAGCATTTCTGTGCGCTCTGGCACTTGTCACGGTCCTCCGTACGCCAGTGGCGGTTTAGTCATACTGGCCACATGACCCGGAAAGCTGTCTGTGGACAAACGCCGGCTTCCTTGGCCTGAAAGCGAGATGAGTGCTTCAACCCCATAGTCACCTTTGACTGGACTTAACTGTCCAGGGGTCCTTTACCTTTTTACCTTTTTATTGTTGGAAGAACATAAAAAGTATCTTGCTATATTAGACCAAGACTCCTCTATACCTATTCCCTTCTGATTTTGATCCACGTCTCTTTCCTGCTTTCTATTAACTGGATTCTAGGAAAGGGGTGGCCACCAAGCAATTTCAAATGGCCCTGGAAGATTTCAACAGTTTGGTGACAGTGGTGCTGCTGCTTCCAGATCACTAAGCAATGATCAGCAGCACTCGGGTATCATTGGAGGTTTCTGATGTTAACCTGAGTACCAGTGATAAATTCTATGGAAGCAGAGCTTCTATTGGTAACCACAGGAGAAACCCCATGGACCACCTTGAAGCAATAAGCCAGGCAAGAAAAATTGACTTTGCTGGAAGGTGCTACTTCAAAGGGCCCTGAGGCAGCAGTTCCCAAGGCCTTCCCTCATCCCTGCCATCAAGAAAGGTAAAAGGCAAGGGAAGCTGACTGCAGTTGAATGTGCCTGCTATATACACGATCTACACGATCGTGCAAACCTCTTTGTGTGTTGTGAAAGAAAGGGAGGGAGAGAGAGAGATTGTCCGCGGCAACTTTGGCAACACCCATATTTTGACCATACTCACTGTACATTGTAGTCTCTTGAGGTTACAGTGGGGCAATGTGGTCCTCTGGCTGAAAAGGTTTCTAGGGAATGCAGAATGCTGTCATGATTCAAGTTTTCTCTTTCACCCAGCAAGAGTTTCCTGCTCATTGTCGACCCAAATATGACAGATATTGCGAATCTAGTAATCTAATAGCTTCTACCTTCATTTGGCCTTAATGTGGAGGTGTTTTTTTAATGTCAGGAGGAGGCTTGATTAATTTATCTGGGTTTGATATGGGTAACATTTAAAACAGTAAAATAAGTTTGGTAGTCCGTTCATTTTTATTGCAGCTCCCTTTGCAGCAATTTACCTCATGGAGCAGAGAAATAGAGTTTGTCAGAATTATTTCCAGATACTTAATTTACTGTGGAATTACTTAATGCCTGTGTTTTTAAAAATACATTCAAACCAATTATAGGCAGATATTTAGTTATATTCAGTATATTTATTTACATGAACACATTACCTGCGCTTTAGCTTTGTATGCAAGTTTTACCTTTTCATTTCATGTATTTTTGTATTAGGTAGTTTTAATATTTTACTTGCAAACCACACAGATAACTTTAAAAAACAAAAACAAAACAAAACTGGGTATTGAAAGTAAATGCATAAAACATACTTCCTCCATAAACAAATCGGAAACTCTTATCTTGGGTGGATTGATTTTAAATTGTTTTTTAAGTTACAAAGAGTTAAATATGCGTGCTGAAATTTAGCAGCACTGCAGATACTTCTGACAATAGTGGCTATAACCTACTAGATGTCCTCTGTATAAGCACCAATGTGACTTTGGGGACTGCTGAGACTCAGTCTGTTGCGACTGGCATCAGTTGCCACAGGCAAGTAATCACAAGAAACTGACCTTGGCGAAAGCACATTTTACACTTCAGTGCTGTTCGACGTGTGTGTGTGTGTGTGTGTGTGTGAGAGAGAGAGAGAGAGAGAGAGAGAGAGAGAACAATATGAATAAAAAGAAGGCAAAAGGATTATCACAATTTTCAGAAATTTCAGAGGTACAGTATATGCACAAATATAGACTAAACCTCTGGATGCCCAATTTTATTTCAATTTAATTTTTATGTCAATTGTCCTGGAAATACGTATCAAAAAGTGCTATACGAAATAACTATATATTTTTAAACAGAAAAACATGAGTGGCTGCTTTTAAAATATACCTCTCAAGGAGTGCGCAAAACAACTAACCAAGCTTCTTTCTATTCCTCACTGTGCATTGTTACCAGAAATAACAAATTCAAAAACAATATGTATGATTTTAAAAAAAGACCTTTTATAATGTAATTTTAAAATGCCTTCGTTGTGGTCCCAGTTTAAACTTTTTGCTGCAACTATGAATACTGTGCACTGTGATGGTGTCTTTTGCACTGCAACATGTGCTCAGTTGCCACTAATTAAGAACTTGATGGAGAACTTTATCACAACCCCTGATGCAAAAGGCACACATTTTCTCTGTGTTCTTTTCAACTTCCATATACAGTGGCTTGAGGCCTTGAACTGCACAGTTTGTCAAGCCAGAAACAATGTTTTTCAGGGACATTGATGACCTAGGGCAGATAAGCTGACAGGCACTGTGCCGGAGGCACAACCTGCAGAATTTAGACTGCCACGTGGTAATTTATAAGATACCTTTTACAGTTTTCAACACTGGATGGCTCAAGTAAAAAACCCAGTTTAGTTTATACTTCAGATGCACGTTTGTTTCTTAGAAATATTATTTAAGATTATGAACAACTTACTTATCCCAGTGTCCAAGACGCAGGCTGGTTTGCATACCCTCCAACATGTTGCCCAGAAAACTTAGACACACATCTTTTGGGACACACTCCTGCACAAGTCATGTGATGTGACCCATGAGAGATTGTGCCCCAAAACATCTTTCAGGCCGTGGTGCCCAAAAACACACATTTTGGGCACCGTGCTCTGGAGAACACAGCTCCCCAAAATAGGATGTCCCGATTTAATTGGGGCATTCAGAGATTACCTGTTTGTCTCCAGGCCCAGTTGAAAGCACTGAGGATGACCTTTATAAATAGCATCGGTCCAGGAAACCTCAGGGGCTGCCTTCTTCCTACCAGCCTTCCTGCTCCAAAAGATTTGACAGAAGCTTGTCTCTTTGTCTTCTTGATGGTGCAGGCTTGGCTGATAAGAGCTAGGGAAAAGACCTCCTTTGTGGCTTCACCCAATTTACAGAACTCTTTGATTCCCCAGTGGTGTTTTACTGTATAACAAAAACCTTTTAGTTTAGGCATATGTTTTATCAGCTAGGCAGGTTTTTATCCAATGCTTTTCTTATAGACTCACTGCTGCACTTTATATATACCATTGTATTTTATGGTTGCTTTGAATTCTTGATAGCCACTCTGAGTGGTGCATAGGCAGGATATACCAATTCAAAATAAATAAATAAATAAATAAATAAATAATAAAATTATTGGGCATCTAAATGAGTGAAAATTAGCTTTTTAACAGGGAAGAGGCAGAGACTGAACTCACTTGCCCTCCTACATGCTGATTTTAGGCATTTTAAGAAGAGCTTTTGCATATGCAACCCTGGCTGCTGGATTAGGGAAACCTGTGTGCAGTGCCTATTTACATGTACAATACCCAATTCAGCTAAGGATATACACTGGAAGCCTGCTTCCACATTCAAATTTCCCCCAGCTGGATCGAAGCAGACCAAAGCCGTGTTTCAATTCCTGAAGCTCTCCACCCATGCAAATTGGCTGATTTCAACCACATAGTTCCAAATTGTAATCACCACTGCTTGCTTCCAACTTAATGTGTTCAGGATTATGATGCAGGACAAAAAAGGTTCTGGAAGTTGGAACAATAGGTATAACCAATTAGTAAGTCAAGTTGCCTTCCTAGTGGCAAAGTATTGATCCTTAAGTGGATTCCTTAGTATATGCAAACAAATCATGTTTATTTAAATTTTCTATGCTGCCTTTCTGCCTTTCTCTTCAGCTATAATGTGGTTTCACT